CAGCTAGCAAGCTTAGTTACTCTGTCACATTCTAATTCAGTGCAAAATTGCTCTACTCGCTTTTTTACGTCTTGTACTTTTGGACTAGTTGAATTCGTAAATATGTTACACTAGTATAGTCAAACTGTATTAAGGAAGTACTTAGTAAACAAAGTTCAACAGAGGTGATCTTTGAATACAGGTTTCGGATTTCCTGACCTAGCTATACCTTATATGTATATAAACGCTATGAAGTGTATATATATATATATATATATATATATATATATATATATATATATATATATATATATATATATATATATATATATATATATATATATATATATATATATATCCAAAAATGAAAAGAAATATCACAGTGTCCGGTAATTAATATGAAAATAAAAAATAACAAGGCAACAATGTTAGTAAAACGTAAGCGCTTTCATTACTTCTTCAGACGTTTTACATTCCAAAACAAATCAAACATGTTTGAATTGTTTTGGAATGTAAAACGTCTGAAGAAGTAATGAAAGCGCTTACGTTTTACTAACATTGTTGCCTTGTAATTTTTTTTATTTTCATATATATATATATATATATATATATATATATATATATATATATATATATATATATATATATATATATATATATATATATATATATATATATAATGTACCAAATACACGTTTACGTTCTATTACTACCACAAATTTCAGATAAAGATAAAAAGAAATATTCAACTTTTTTTTATTCTGCATGATATTTATTACATTATAAATCACAAATCATGTATTTCAAACTATCCAATAAGTTGAAATTCATCAACACAGGTAAAGAGTTTAAACATGAAAAAATATCAAAGAGCATAATAATGGAAAACAACGTTTTAACAAATTTATTTTCCCAGTAATTGCTAGTGCAGAGTGCACTATATGCATTCTCCGTTGATTCTTGAATATCGGTCAATCTAAACAAAGAGTCTGATAAAGGAAGCAGACAGAAAATGGTCATCATGAAGACGAGTTTTGTGTTGAATAATTGACTAAAAAATAATTCGCATGTTGTAGAATTATAAGATTTCTTATGGGAAGCTAAAAGCTCATATTTTTAAAGACTTTATTCATGTAGAATTAGCTTTCCGTTGAAAATCATGAAAGAAATAATGTGGTATTAATTAAAGCATATTTTGCAGGCTTCATCGATTTGAAAAGGAATATTGATTCTTGTAAGCTAAAGATGCACCATTTTTCTAACGTCAGCAATATTTGACATTGATATATATGCTTAACTGGGCAAATTTAAAAGAATTGAATTAATGGTGTTGTACGACTGCTTTTACACCCGTAATTTGATTTCTAACACAACTTAAGTGAACAGAACATATTATGAGAGAAGATAAAAGATAAAATCCATTGTCACACAAAAATATTTCAACTGAACACTGCACTAAAAATGTATGCCGCATCAGTGATTTCAAAGATAAAATAATCATCTATTTTTTAAATTTCTTTTTTACCAGTTTTGAGGCAATAAGAGAATATTAATTTGATATAAATAAATCTTACCTGTCAAATGACTGAGTTTTTAATATTTCCCTTAGAAAGTGTTGCACAATTCTACAATCATGGAGGGATACATATTAAATCCTGTAACACTCTGATCAATTCAGTCAGTCATGATAATTTCAGGATACACATTTATTGCACAAATTTCTGGAAAGAAATGTGGCTAACTTTTATGTACTTAAGACTGCATTCATTCATGTTAATATTTCGTGTTGATAATTTATTTATTATAGAGCTTTTATAAAGTAAATATTACACTGGAATTTTTGTGTTCTTACTGTATGTGATGTAAACCCAAATATTTGCTCTGAATTCTCCTGCTTGACTTGTGAAAATAATAAATAATGAATGAGAGTTTACAAGAGATCAAATATACGTGGAATGGTACTTAATAAAAAGTAGATCCTTTGAACCGTAGGATTCGGGGGGGGGGGAAGAGGGTGTGTGCCCCCCAAATAATTTTGCCGATATATAGATAACTATATAAAACATAGCTACTATACGCTTGTGCCCCCTCAATAATGACATCAGATGACCTTTTTTTTTTTTGCTTATCAAGGAAATTTTGAATTGTTGGTAGTGCCCTCCCCCCCCCTCCCAACTGAAAATGTTTAGTTGTGCCCCCCCCCCAATGAAATTGCTTCCTGTGGGCCTGTTTAAAGAATATTGATGATCAAACTTATTGTAAATAATTTATGTGGAATTTTTACTTTTTGTTAAAAGATTTTCAAAGGTAAATGACCTTTTCTTGGATTTCATCTAGAGTTCTCAATTTCAATCATTATCTGTGTTGCTTTTCTTTCATTCTTCATCTTAGATTCATCACAATTTTATTGATAAGTTTGAAAGGTAATTATATTCATTTTAAAAAAGTATCTCTAATCAAGTGGCAGCTTATGAGATAATGAAAATTAAGAAAGAAAATTATATACCTTAAGTTATTCACAATCACTTTTTTTAATTGAAAAATGCCCTTTTATTTCCTTTAGGGTTGAGGTCTGAAAACTTTATTAAAATATTGAACTGTCAGAGATTAATTGATTGATTGATTATTATTTGCACTTGTGTCGTATTAGTCCTTTCTCGATTACTGTCATCCCTTCTAATTACTTTCACTTAATTTTTTTTTCATCAGTTGGGGCACAATAATTTTGTCATTAATCAAAGAGAAAGAAATCTTGTTATCATATTCTATTGAAGCTTTACCGTTCCTGTAATCGGGGATCTTTCGAGTTGACTGAAAGCTTGGTTATTCAGTCACACTCTAATTCAGTGCAAAATTGCTCTAGTCGCATTTTTACGTCTTACTTTTGGACTACTTGCATTCGTAAATATGTAACACTAATATAGTCAAACCTGTCTTAAGGAAGTACTTAGTAAACAAAGTGAGCTCTCAACAGAGGTGATCTTTGAATACAGGTTTCGTGACCTGGCTATACCTAATATATATATAAACGCTATGAAGTACATGTACATGTATAGGTATAATGTACCAAATACATGTTTTCGTTCTATTACTACCATAAATTTCAGATTAAGATAAAAAGAAATACTTAACTTTTTTATTCTGCATGATATTTATTACATTATGAATCACAAATCATGTATTTAAAACGATCCAGTAAGTTGAAATTCATCAACACAGGTAGAGGGTTTGGACATGCAAAAAAGTATCGTTTTAACAAACTTATTTTCCCGGTAATTGCCAGTGCACGGTGCACTGTAACCATTCTCCGCTGATTCTTGAATATTGGTCAATCTAAACAGAGATTCTGATAAACTGATAAAGGAAGATAAAGGAAGCAGATAGAAAATGGTCATCAAGAAGAAACTTCAGTGTTTATCTGTTAAAGTTAATGACAAATGGAAAATAGCATCCGAGAGTTTTGTATTGAATAATTGACTTTAAAAAATCCACATGTTGTGGAATTATAAGATTTTTGATGGAAAACTAAAAGCTAAAAACTAGGCAAATTAAAAAGAATTAATGGTGTTGTACGACTGCTTTTACACTCGTAATTTGATTTCTAACACAACGTAAGGGAACATAACATATTATGAGAGAAGATCGGAGATAAAATCCATTGCCACACAAAAACATTTCAACTGTACACTGCACTAAAAATGTATACAGCATCAGTGATTTCAAGGATGAAATAATGATCTATTTTTTAAATTTCTTTTTACCAGTTTTGAGGCAATAAGAGTATATTAATTTGATATAAGTAAATCTTACCTGTCAAATAAAATGAGACTTCTACAAAATGAGTTTTGATTCTAAGTAATATAATTTTCAAAGGTCAAAGGAAGGTCGCAAAATTCGTGAATTTCCGAATTTTCTTATTTTCATTCAAATTTTCATCAATTTTAAAGCACATTTTGTTTCAGAACACATACAGCACAAGCTTGCCTATTTACCAAATTTATATATTATGTGCACCAGTATCATATGCATCTTGCGCATAAAAATCTCGTGATCTATTTTTTCCGAAATGTAAAATGTATCTCAAATTTGATGAAATTTCATCAGAATTCAGAAAATCGGTAAAATGTTCTACTTTGTCACCTTCTTGTAGCTTTTATGTACGCTTTGAATCAAAATCAATGCTGGTTATAAATCAAGTAGCATTTTAAGTTCTAAACTGCAAACTATCACAATTTTAGCTGCGTTTTCATTTTTTATATTAAATGAGGGGTCAAATTCGGCCATTGCTAAACCTTGCCCAAAGCCATTTGTTCTTAAAAATCCGTAGACGTTTCTAGCGAGAAGTAATATTAGCGATTTTATAATGTCTTAAAAGATTAGGGTTACCTCCCACGAGGAATTCAATTTTAGGTCCTCAACACTCTCTCTAATGATACCTAAATTGAATCATCTCTAAAAAATTCTGCTTGAAACAATCCATTGCTTAGTTTGTGTTTACTGGGTGCTATATACTATAGTGCTACAAAATATTAATATATGACAACAAAATATTGTATCGACTAATAGCCAGTAAATTTGGAGGAACATAACAAAAGTTGATAGTAAGTATGTGCACCCCCACATATATATGTATTTGTGTTTTGTGTATCATTTATGTCGCTAACCATGGTCTTATTACGTGAAGGACCTTGAATAAGTGTGCAGTATCTATGCCATATAAATGCATTGTATATACATGTATTCATAATTTTGTTCAAGTCAATGAAAATAAAAATCAGACAAACGGTCATGCTAATGAAAAGTTGTTCTAATATTGATTTTGCTTCTTGTGTCCACTAAATATCTGAACATTCTTACCTTTATAAAGATATCTTATGTCATTATGCAAATAGGGCGCGGACGAATTCGTTTACTATTAGCTACCGGGGTAGATTGCTGACATTTATCTAATCTGATGAACTTTGAGAGATTATCTATAATAAATATCTTTATTGAGGGTGTACGAAAATTTATAGAAACATTTGTGGTCATTTTTCATACACCTGTACACACCATGAAGCCGGGCCTGGATAATTGGGTGGATATTTTGATTATCACCCTCTACTTTGTTTTTGTGATGCTAGTTGGGCTTTGGGTAAGTCATGTAAAATACTTATATTTCCCCCTCACAGTCCATAGTTTTCTTTGTTTTCATTAAACATAGGTTGTGGTGCATATATGGCGAAGAAGCACTGAAAAAGCATTAGCAAATTTTGGGAGATGATTCGATGTTAAAGCAGAATAGTAGACAAAGCACATTTTCTTTGGTATTGTTGATCGCACAATAAATTTATTATGCATACAACGATGCTTATATAGTCTATGATGTTCTGTACATTTGCATGTTTTCGTCCGACCGATCTTTTGCTATTGGCCATTTGATCTTTGCCTTTTACTTCTTGCTCTAAAAGGACAAGGTATGGTAACGGCCGAATTTGGTTCCTTATTTCATATAAAAATCAGAATACAGTTACAATTGTGATACTTTGCAGTTAAAAACTTAAAATGACGATTGTTTTAAAACCAGTGCTGACTTTGATTCAAGCGTAAATGGAGGCCACAAGAGGGTGCCATAGTAGAACATTTTACCGAATTTCCTCAATTCTGATGGAATTTCGTCAAATTTGAGATACTTTTCACTTCGGGAAACATAGATAACACGATTTTCTGAGATTCCAAACACAAGACGCATCTGATATAACTAGTTCATGAAATACATAAATTTGACAGATAGAGAAACAAGAAAAAGATATGCTTTAAAATTAATGAAAATTTGCGTAAAATTGAGAAAATTCGGATCTGTTATATTTTATGACTTTCCTGTGACATTTAAGTAATCCATAATCTAGAATCAATACATTTTGTAACAGGGATGACAACAGGTTTTTGATGACGAACTGTTGCATCGTTCTAAGAGACACCCTAAACTAGGGGTCAAAAAGGATCTTACCCTATCTTGTCCTTTTCGAGTTTTGTCTTTTACAATTTTCACCAAATATTCCCTTCCTAAGACTGTAATTTTCAAAATTTTTCGCGGTAATTAAGTGATAATTTAACAAAATATCAGTGACATGGAAATTTTTTTATTTCATCACGTTTCACACCCGTGAATGCATGCATGAACATAAGTTAAAATACATGTTAAAAATTTAACACTGCTCTTCAACTTTAAGTGTACCTGAACTTTGAGGCTTGATTGTTCTTTTGCTTTTTTGTTTTATGTGAGAAACATTATCTTTCAGTCCATGTGTAGAAAAGAGAGAAATACAGCAAAAGGTTACTTTCTGGCGGGTCGCTCTATGAAATGGTTTCCAGTAAGTGCTATATAGAATGCTTCTTGTTTTGAACATCTTAATTATGCACAAATACATGTAATTACCCAATGAACCAAATTCTTCTTAATGTTTTAATATACAGATCGGTGCATCATTATTTGCGAGCAATATTGGAAGCGAGCATTTCATTGGTCTGGCTGGCAGTGGGGCGGCCGGTGGAATTGCTGTCGTAGCTTTCGAATGGGGCGTAAGTTAGATTATAAAGCAGATCGAGGAACCTTTGAAACAATATCTTAATTAGCAACATTATTTAAAGATCAATGTATTCATTAACAGGCAGCACTGTGTCTTCTTCTGTTAGGATGGGTTTTTCTTCCTGTTTATTTGTCTTCTGGGGTAAGACTTACGGAATATCTCGACGAATAAATTAGAGAGGCTTCATTTTATATTTTATATGTCTTCCAGATAAAGAGTGAATTTCAAAACGGTTATGTATAACTTTATTAATGTCATTGAATTAATGAGTCAAAGAATAACACTAAGAAGTCTGACCATTTTGGTTTTACTTTTCTTTTTAATTATTTGCATGATTTTGAAAATAATGTAAGTCTTTAAAAAAATTAAAATTAGTTAAGATTTACTGTTATTAATTTATTATGCTTAATGTTTCAGTTGTTTACCATACCTGAATATCTCGCCCGGCGGTTTGGTGGAAACCGACTTAGAATCTACCTTAGCATTCTGGCATTATTCTTATACATATGCACCAAAATCTCGGTAATAAATCTGTCATTCACATTTTGAATGCATCACGTGGATGAATTTTTACAACCTACATACATGTATACAGTCAGAGAAAAAGTGTTCTCTTTTGCTTTTCTTCTTTACAAGGTTGACATATACGCTGGGTCAGTGTTTGTCCAGCAGGCGTTGGGATGGAATACTTATATATCAATAGCAGCCATACTAGTGGTCACTGCCGTTTATACCGTTGTAGGTAAGGTTTATTTCCTCATTACTTCCCACAAGTACTAATACTGATACTAATATTAATTAATACCAACCAAGAAAAATTCTTTAATTGAGAAATTACTGCATTACGCATCACACCTTGTCGATCTAATGGACTTGAATCCAATTCCAGGTGGATTAGCTGCGGTTATCTTCACAGACACATTACAAACCATTATCATGTTGATTGGTTCCGTTGTCTTGGCCATTTTGGGTAGGTACATTGTAAACTATAAAGAACAGAATCTCTTCAAATAAAGTTCCACTCAATCAAATTGCACTTTTATAATTTGATTGAGTGGAACTGAATTGCACTTTTATACTGAACTAATCTATTGTAGGCTTTGTAAAGGTGGGAGGTATGAATGGGCTTATGGTCAAATATTTCGAAGCTGTTCCAACAAGACATGGAATGTTGTACTTAAACAATACTAATATGTCTGATGTGACGTATTTCAATTCAACCAATAACAGCACCTGTGGTCTGCCTCGTGCTGACGCTTTCCATATTCTGAGAGATCCTTTGACCTCTGACTTACCATGGCCTGGTGTCTTGATCCGATCTACGTTTGTATCAATGTGGTACTGGTGTGCTGATCAGGTACATTTGCAATATTTTCATATGATATATATATTTATCAAGTAATTTAAATATGTTCTATTGGCATCCGTATAGTGCTAGGGTTATCGATTTCCTATTAGACAAAGTGAAAACAATTATACATGACCCCATTCCTCAGGCCCCAAGAAGGCAGGAATCATGCATGAAATTCATATGTTTTTTGTCCTCCTTGACCCATAGATGTCATATAAAACTACAATATACTTAGCAGAAAAAAACATAAAAGACTCTTATTCATTTATTTCTAACCAAGGTCATTGTACAACGTGTGTTAGCAGCAAAAAACATCGGACACGCAAGGGGAGCTACTATTATGGCTGGATATCTAAAGTTCTTACCACTGTTTCTTATAATTATGCCCGGAATGATTAGTAGAGTATTATTTCCAGGTACATAATCATTTAATATCTTACTTTAATCAAATTATTGCTGTAATACATTGACAGAATTTGGATAGAATGCTTTATTAAAAGCTTTTCTTTACAGATACTGTAGGGTGTGCTGATCGAGAGACCTGTATGAATGTTTGTGAAAATCCCACTGGTTGTTCAAATATTGCATACCCTCAGCTCATTTTAGGATTAGCTCCAATAGGTTAAACAATTTATGATCACGTACTAGTATGCTTCACTTTTAATTCAACATGTTAAATTCATATTATTGATTAGACCTGTACAATATTGTTATTCGCCTTGTAAATGTAACATTTCAAATGCTAACTCCCCGGAATGGGTGTGTTAGTTTCCCAGACTAATTCACGTGTAAATGATGCCCAGAGAGCTTCCGTCGCTATAGAAAATTCCAATGTTTTTCACAGGACTGCGCGGCTTGATGATGGCAGTGATGATGGCTGCTCTGATGAGTTCGTTGACGTCAGTGTTCAACAGCGCCGCCACCGTATTCACCATGGACATATGGAGACGTGTGCGAAAAAGTGCGACTGAAAGAGAACAGCTTATTGTCGGAAAGTAAGTTTAATACTATGTTTATTAAATAATAAATCGACTCCATAGATTATACAAACATTTGCATCCTTTTTCAGGATATTTGTGCTTATTTTGGTGGGAATAAGCATCCTGTGGATTCCTTTGATTCAGGCTGCCCAACAGGGACAGCTGTTTCTCTACATACAGGCTCTAACTGGTTATATAGCTCCACCTATTTGTTCTGTATTTCTACTGGCAATATTTGTACCCAGGGTGACCGAAAAGGTATAATACAAATACATGTATCAGTATTTAATCATTCATCTACTATTCATTCTCATAGGATATGCTTTTTCTACTTGAATCCTGAAAATGTACCAGTATTACCATTTTCTATGCAATCTTTGAAGGGTGCCTTCTGGGGCATGTTGGTGGGTCAAATAAGCGGGCTAATAAGGATGGTTCTAGACTTTGTGTATCCCTCACCAGGCTGTGGCGAACCAGATAACCGTCCAGCCGTTGTTGCCAAAGTCCATTTCACGTATTTTGCCGCCCTGATTTTGGTTCTTACTGCTTTGATTGTAATTGTTGTTAGTCTTTTAGAGAAGCCAAAGAAAAACAACTCGGTTAGTGAGTTTGTCACGTACTTATTCCATATACTTATACATTTAAAAATAATTTCACCATTTCCTGTAAATGTGAAAATGAAGTTACTCATTAAAATTGAATAAGAAAAGCCAAAAGAAGCTCAAAATTTAATGCCTTTAATTTTAGATAAAAGGATTGACATATTGGACAGTTGAGCCCGTAAGGCCTCCACCGAAGGAAACATTTATTCCAGAAACCGTCTTGAATGATGAAGAAGTATCAATCCAAGAAAGTGACGACAAATATGTAACTTATCCGATGAAAGACATTGTAAATGAGGCTTACCACAGCGACGAGAGTGTCGAAGAACAGGTGAACACATCTCACTATGAAGATAAATTGAAAGACGAAATAAACCAAGTCCAGGTTCAGACGACCAATTCTACTAGTGTTGAAAGGGAACGTCCTGCTTTAAGAAGGACGAAGTCAAACCGTGATGCCGTGTTCGACAAAGTGATCAGACAGAGTCAAACAGAAGAGACGGTTACAGAGTATAGAGTGGAAAACGGACCCGAAACAACTGATACAGGAAAGGAAGAGACGGGGGAACCTGGAGAAAAAACAGTGGAGTTAAGAAATAAAAGGATTAGAGTAAAAAGTAAGCATTTAACAAGTTCTCTTATAATGCGAACAGAGTAAAAATATCTATGAAGCAGAAAGGTGGAGTTAAGAAATAAAAGGAGTAGAGTTAACAGTAAGCATTTAACGAGTTATCTTGTGAAGAGAACAGAAAAAAACTATGTTTGAAGCAGTTATTAATACATTATCTCAACATTGATCTTGATGATTTCTTTATTTCCATAATGCAGTTGCATGTGCCAATTACCATGGAAATAACAGTAAACTTTGAAAATTCTTAGGTCATATAGTCCACGAAAAAGCCATTGTTATAGTTTATAAACAATTCATTATCTTTGTCTTCAGAAAGTTCCTATGCTAGCGACATGTCACTGGAGATCCATTCAGAATTCTTAAAGAGAAAGAGTGAGGTGGAGAAAGCCCAAGAGTTAGAAAAGATTGAGGAGCTTAAAAGACAGGCGGAAATGGAGAGACAGCGTGAGCTGGAACGCCAACGGGAAATAGAAAGACAGCAGGAACTGAAACGGTTAAAAGAAATAGAAATACAGAAGGAGCTGGAAAGAATGCAAGAGTTACAAAGGATTCAGGAAATCAAACGTAAGGAAATGGAGAGGAAAAGAGAAATCGAGGCTCAAATGAAGAAAGATAGCAAAGACCAAGTTCAAACCCTGCTGAGAAATAAACTGTACATTAGTTCTAAATTTGACTTCTTCCTAAATCTGAATGCCGTCATCCTTCTCTGTGTGTTTGTATTCTTGTACTGCATTTTTGCATGATCTGTGATGTTACTCAAGTAATATCATGTATATTTTTTTCTTAAGCCTTTTTTCAGGCAGTCACCCAGTTAAAATTCTCACAATATGTACTTAGTACTTGGCTCTGTGATTCCATTAAAGATAGTACGAGCATGAAGCCTGTGAATAAGTAACCCTACATATAGCAAACAATGAAAGATCCTTTTCTGGGATCAATAATGACAAAAAAAATTATTGTTTTAAATGTAATTTTATTAACAACATTTAGAGAATAATTTCTTAATTGACACGTAAGCTCTAGTGTTGAGATATGTAAAGATAAATTTGCTTTCAAAATGGAACATTTTCATAACAAATTTTGTAAAAAATTATATAACAAAATATACTTATTAATTGGTATCACCTTCATTCAATGGTTTTACCTTAGATACACACTCATTATAATAAATAAAACAATTAAATAGAAAAAGTCGGCAAATCAAACAAAAAAAAAATGTCCTCAAAATTATCCCTTTACCAGAGTGCAAAATTCTCATTCTGGTGTACTTCTTAAGAGTGCATTATAAATATCATTTGAAATATCAACCATTTGTCACTTTTGAAAACGATGAACAAGTACATTTCAAGGGAACTTGATCACAATTTGAGGAATATTTAATGGAAATGACACTTTCTTTGGTTTAAGCACTATCTGTGTATTACGCCAATTTAAAAATGAAAGTTTCTCAAAATCTTTCAAATGATATAAACATACAAAGATATTTTGCTGTAAGAAAAACATACCCTTATATTTTTCATAAGGCGTTTAAAATTATATGAAAAGGGTGATAGAAATCGAGAGTCATATATTGATATCAAAGAACAAGCACAGCTTGCTAAACTTGATGCTACGAAAAATAAATTGAAAATACCATTAACAATTCATATGTACATATATTTCTTATAATGAAAAATCAAACATATAATGACAAAAAAGGACGGATGTATCTTCATTATTGCATATATAAATAAATAATTCCGCATATTTTACAGTTTGTAGATAAATATGTCTTATAAAAAGTCTATAATATCCCGTCAGAAGTGTTGGTGCAAAACAATAAATAACGTATTGCCTTTTCCCTAATCTAAGTGGAATCACGTGGTCTCTAAACTGGGCAGGCTCTTGATAGCGGCAGCCTTTTTGATTGGTCCATGTTTTGGGTCCAGTATTCTCTGGTCCTCTGGTATATTGCTACAAAACAAAGAGATATTAGGTCCTTGATTATTACGGCTACAAGACGTCTCTAAATCTCAAATATTCTTAATAGCGAACAAGATCCTTTTTCATAATCCTATTACATGTATATCAATTCCATGTTTCATAAATCTGTTCATTTGCCATCAATAAGGATTGAGAAAAATCTTCTTCTTTTTTTTTTAAAGCTGTACATTCTTTTATTTAAATGAAATATGTGTTATCATAATATATTCATATTAGTTAAAGCTGAAATTACTAAAAGAAAAAATACTACATATAAGATATATATTCACACATCAATAATCAATAAGAAATTCAACCACCCAAAAATCATTATATGCTCATACTTCCTTCACCATACTTCCTTCACTTCTTACCTTGTTTGCAGCAAGTAAATTTCTAATTTAATACCAATGCTAGCTAAAATTATTCACCTAAAATATGTCTAAGAAACATGTTTTTGATGTCTAAGAAACATGTTTTTGTTTCTAACAAGAAACATCTTAAATGAAAGAACAACTGAACAACAAAAGAGCAGATTGTTCAAAAAATGCAATACAATAGAATTAACACTCGTACCAAAAAATTACGATGACAAACAAAAAAATGTATAACAATTGAACAAAACCAACGAATAAAAATTGAACAGAAGTCTAGTTGGATCCATGGTAATAGTATCCTAGACTAGAATCTATGAAGAACACATCTAGCTAGCTGAAAGTTAGGGTGGAGAACAGTTAACAATACAAGGGAGGTAAGAAACACCATACCCCGCAATTAATATTCTTACCCCATTAGCCTACAGTGAAATATGATAAAAGTTAATTATTACAGATTTCAAAATAAAGAAGTAAATTGTAAATTATAGTATTTTAGTATGAATTGTAACATCCTTTAGGTGGAAAACTTGCAATAGAAATCAGGAAAAAACGTGAATTCTGACATGATATAGAAATTAACGTAGAGTAAAATATTTAGTTTTTTGTTGAATTAAGTGCAAATGGATGTTAAGAAGGGTGTTTGCTTATTTTCTTAGGAAGGGGGAGGTGGTTTTGTGAACAAGAATCCGCTTACCGTATTTCATGCTCCAAACTTCTGAAGACAAGATCAATACATTTATTAGAATTAGCTCAAGGTAAACATGAAATGGGTTGCAAAGTTAAGAACTATACTAAGAAAGTTTTGTAATTTAATGGCTGATTAATAATTAACCATTTTTAAATGTGTTTATTATTATCATTTTTTATCTGTACAAAATTTACAGCATGATTTTCCAAAAATGGCATCATTCTTAACAAATGTTATCTTTAAAACAAATATTTAAAGATTTTCATGAACTCATAAAATTATTTAATTCATTGTTATATTTTCTGTTAATTACAGGAACTTCTACGCTACAAAATTATAAAGGTTATTCCTTCACCAATTTAGAATTTGAAATAGTTTAAGTTTGGACGTGGTGATGCTGCCATTCAACAATAAACTGATACTTCTATTCTATATTAGCAAAGGGCACTAGTCTGCACAGTGCACGTAATTTTGGTGATTATATTTTTATTTTTCAAATACTACTGCAGCATCAATTAATATTATATTAATAATAATAATTAATATATAATTATTAATATATTAATAATATTATAAATGTATCTCAATTATTTATTCTCAATTATCTTCTGTGCCCAAAATAATATCCAATACTTCGTAAAGGATGACTGCACTTAAGGACATGCGAAATTTGCGACAAAATAAAAAACTTTCAAAACAAGCATTTTTCTTTTCATTGCAAGAATGGTCAACATCCAATCTACAACTTTATGTAATTACGTTTAATAAAAGTGTGTATTTACGAAGTTCGAATCTGTTTTCAAAGGCAGGGGTCATCACAATTTCTTGAATCTCCGTTCGATAATGAGGACGCCCACTTTTTTTGCTGACTTCATACATAGTCAGCGCATGTTTGTCTATTGTTCTACGTTTAACAGTAGTTGTATATTTACATAAATAATAATGTGTCAAAAGGAGATTAATAGACAAACATGCGCTCACGATTAAAAAGAGAAAAAACTGCTTCTTCTTGCATTCGCTCTCTGTGTTGTAACCAAGGGTTGTGACATGTTGAATATTATAATTCACCACGTGATTTCGTACCTCAAGTAACTTTGTGAATACTTAATTCCGTCACGTGACTTGTAAGGTAGCATCTGTTGTGCTAACTAGGACATTGTGTTCGAACACGTTAAGTCATCTGGCATTGATATAAAATCTGCTTTAATTACATTGACATACTCCTATTGTTAATTTCGTTTTGAAACCTTTGTCGGTAGTGTATTTGTGCCATACAGAATGGAGAGGGAGATTGGAAAGAGTGATCGCGTTCTTTTTTTCAAACAAGTCATTGTTATTTATCAAGTCTAAATTTAGACCCATTCTTACAATGTTAGCTCCACCTCTCATGCATATCTTATGTTCAATCAAGGGCAGGTAAGTGTAAATTCTCTATATTTGGAAAGCAGTAAGGACAAAAAACATTGAATCATTTTATTGTATCACAGTCTAAAATCATTTTAAGATTTAAATTTGGTTCCAAATTGACAGGATTCTTTCATAAACATACAAAAGTGAAATAAGGTTTAGATATAAAAGCAAGAGAAGCAACCGAAAAAGACCCAAAAACCGGCGTTAAGTGCAGTCATCCTTTATCAATATCCCCTCAGTGAATATTTTAAAACTGAATTGACGGTTGAAAACCCCTATCTTCAAGGATGTACAACTTTTTCTCTAGATCTTACTGGATTTTATTTTTGAATACACCACACTTTTTTTTCTCTTAGTAAATTTCAATGTTTCCGATTTATAAATCTTCAAACCTGATCTTTTTTATAAACATGTAAATTCCAAAAACGAAAATCATAATACTTAGTATATGCATTATATTTCATATGCTAGAGGGGAAAGATAGTGCAGGGAAATTCAGAATTGCTGAGAAAAGAAAAGACATTATATCTATAGAAATGTTACTCTATCGATATAAAGCAAAATGCTTATTAGTGACCAGTTGTGTTAAGTCGAGTTAAATTTTTGGCTCTGAGTACTGAAACAGTTATTTAGCAAATTGTTCCAATTTCTTTCTCTTTTTTTTTTGGATATACATTTGATACGTATTCTACAAATAAAATGTTTTGTAGCATTTAGATTTCTGACTGTTAAGATATACATTCGCATAGGAGGAAATCGTTAAAATAGGGGAAAGTTAGTTAGTTTGTTTGTTTGTTTTTTTATTTCAAGGATATATTTAAACAACACCAACAACGTATAACATTAGGAAATATCTATAAAAACTAATCGTTACCTCAGGCTACGGTAATTAGTATTTCGAACAGTTTTAATTTTGGACCTCCTTGGTGAAGGACTAGAGCTATTTTCATCCATTTCATTCAGTGAAATCCTAGAACTAAAGGGTTGAAGCCATAACTTTATACAAATGCCTAAAAACGTGTAATACATAGATTAAAAAATACTCATCTAACAATCTCTAAACATAAAACTAAGGATTTCTAAATGGTGAAAAAACAACTTGGGTTTTCAAGTCAATGTTTTCATCGTATTTCCCATCGCATCACCTCGAAGAAATTCTGCAATACGTATTTCCAACACTGAACAGCATCTAGCATTAAGATGCATCCTGCTTGACTACTGCACAATTGGTAGCATTCAAAGCCATTACATGTCTATATTTAACATTTACCCTAATATTTCACAAAGTCGTCTGTTCTTTCGTTCGCTGCAAAAAATGCCCGATCACAGTTAGAAATCTCCCGAGAAAGTGCTGAGTAAGAGCCACAGAACCTCTCTATCTAGACAAATCCCAGCTTACCTGTTATTCTAATATGCTATGAGCAATACTGGGGTCCCATTCAACTCTTTTTGAAGATCTATATTTTCAAAAGGTATTCAAGTAATTTCATTTTTCGGTTCATGACCAAAGACCGTCATATATGTAATACTTCTTACTTTTTTTATGTGCTCAAGTAAGACTTAAACACACATTTCTTATTCCTATGCCATCTAACTTGTTTACTGTCAACAGTCAACAAGCACACTCATGACGAAATTTATATGGCTTTGGTTAATTTAGTCATATGAAAAAGTCCCATAACCAACCAAAAGAAACAGCACACATCAAAATGAAAGAACACACAGACACAACCTGCTTCCCATTTGGGCAACAGAGAAACCATATTAGAAATGAATGGGATTGAAATAAGCCAATTCTAATCTGAAATGTTTTGACTGTGCCCATGTCCCTTTATGACACAAGAAGCATACAAAACATATCTGAATATTAAGGGTTATGACATGTTCACCTTTCTCTGTATTATATACACATATATTAAATATATATTTCCACCATCTTAATTTATACTACCTCTGCGAGCTTCTTCGCTCGTTCTGACTTCTAAATGGTAATATTATGCAATGTAATAACATATTACTAAATAAAGAGCATGCATTTATGCAGAAAATACGGAATATTTACTAATGGACGGAAATCAAAATTCAATAAAGATAGCAACAATCTGAAGAGAAAGCACTCATTTCTCTCCTCAATCGTGTGTATTTTTTTTTTAATTAGAAAAAATATCTTTTTTTTAATTCTTAATCTGTGAAAGGCATCCTATTTTTAAAAAAGAAAAGAAAGTTTCCATAATAATTCAATAATAGTTTCAGATATGTTGCTATTGAAAAAGAAATAAACATCTACGTGAAAAATTTTTCTACGTCATGGTGGGATCAAAAAAAGGCACACATTTTCACTACAAAGAAAGAACTACTTTAAGAATCCACATACCCCATACTCCTTGGAGTGCGAGATCCCGGAATGGTATCCAGTGCGTCTCGACTAGAAGACAGCTTCGGTCGACTGGCCATCTCATTAATGGAACCCTTCGTAGAATTGATCTCCAACGAGTACGTTTTCCTCTCGTCGTTTGCTTTATGGTAAGCCTAAGGAATCAGGTTCAAAGGTCAAACTTAATACACTAGTAAATAAGATTTCTAAGACATGGTATTAAAATCACTTTTGGAAAAAAAGGAAAAACAAGAAGAGAATCTGCAAAGTAAATAAAGATGAAATGATTTATAATTAATAATCAAAGAGATTGCAATTTCTCAACTTTTAGTATTATAATTGCACATTTTGACATTTACTTAAAAATAATAACAATATACCTTGTTTAATGGATTAAACAAGACAGATATTTAATTGACAAAAGCCTAGCAGCTCATTCTGTTTCAGTTTCAATCACTCCACTCTCCACTCAGCACCACAGACCCCAGTATTATACACACAACTCAACAGTGAATTACGCTCACTTTACAGCACTCGCAAATCAAACAGTCTCAGAGGTGCCCAGAAACATGAAATGTGTCATATCATTCTTTCCATGGTACATGCACATTAATTTAATCTACAACTACCGTTTACTAATATTTTTTGCTAGCTATACAAATTTACATGCTACTTCTTACTTCACTTTCAGAATGTGTACAATTTAACATGCATTTGTGCTTTATGAAAATACGTATTATTACTAGTAATTTGTAATTCCGGGATAGTTCTGAATAAAATTTACTAGAGGTCAGTTTCTCTAAGTAGATATACATGCAAGTGGAATAAGTCCATGCATAAAATTCTCAACAGGGTTAACCTTTTTTGTAGAGTAAGGATTGGATATTGAACAAGGAACAAAACACAGCACAAGGTAAAGGATCTCAATACAGGAACATGCAAAGCACTAACAATACAGAACGTCTGTTTCGATTTCAACAATAAACCAATTCGATATTTCCAAAAATAGAAATGTTGCAAGAAAACAATATTAATGGTACAAATTACTAATTGGATTTTTTCTTCTAAGAAACAGACTTTCTAGCGTACGAACTGCCCTGGTCCAGGATGGCAACAGCGACTCCAAAATGTACCAAGACAGTTCACCCTCACCTTTGACTCTTGATCAAGTCTCCATTCAATGTCTCTAATTTGCCCTTGAAGCATTTGCTTTTCTTTTTCAAGCGACCGAACCATATATTTATTTGCCTAGAATATCAAGGTGCAGTGCTTTTAATGTAAAAGTGAAAAATAAATTTCTGGGTTTAATTAGGTACCTTTGACTCCTGGTCCATTCTCCATTCCATATCCCTCAGCTGATTCACGAGAACGTTCTTTTCTTTCTCCAGCATTCGAATCATATGCGGATTTGCCTTTTTGTTACGTCAAAAAACTCAACATCTTATACATTATCTAGATACATATGTATCACAAACACATTTCATGACATATTTATGAACATGAAATCTTAATTTAATGCATTACTTTTTTGACTGTTTCAACAATTACTTAATATTTTTTTACTGTTTTAACAATTTGTTTTTTCTGATATTCCTTTTTATTAAAAGTAAATTGTTTGTGAGGGTTGTCATTAATACTTACGTCAGAAAGGTCATCAAAATTTTTCAAGTCTCTAGGCGTCTTTCCAGCTACAAAGTGAAATGTTAATTTCTTAAAATCTCAAAGCACTGCAAGTCCACCGAGTTTAAAAACTTTTTCCAGATAAACTGCATATCGATATTTCATATCCAAAAATGTCACCCCCCAAAAGTCCAATTACCATCAACTAGCCCTCTACATCCATTAATCATGAGTAACATGAAGATAATACTAGAGACTAACACATGAGTAAGGTGACATGCAATATATAAATCCACAAGAACAGTGTAGCCTAACATGACAAACAAAGTGCACTGCACATTTCACAGTAACTACACCCATTCTTGAAGTGGAACAATTTGATATAATTTACCATAGAAACCAGTACAACCGTGCAATTATATAATGCCATGATCAACCAGTATTCTAAAACTACAATAATACATGTACATTTCTAACACTGAATAATGAAGTGATCGCAGTCACTCTGTGCCCCTGCCCCCATTACCTAAGTCCCCGGGGCGAGGACTGATGGTTAGATTGATCGTTATCCCCGTAGATTTTTGAGTGGCTGCAGTGTTTGGTTTGGAGTACTGAGACTCCGACGAGCTTCGACTAATGGCTTTACTAGCTACACTAGAGCGAGAGGCTGAATCCCTACCTGCTACGTGGGCCCGTGCTGGAAAAATTGGTCGGTAATTACAATGTCATAATATAATAAAGATTTTTACTCCCTTCTTTGTCCAATATGTTATATTGTGTTATAGTAAGCGTACCATGAAATCATTACACTGCATGTACTTCCATAGAATTTCTCTTTACCGTACACAAAAAGAATTCGCTATATTTAAGGAACTGCAAATTCTCGTGAAAATTAATTTTAAAGTAAAAATATGTGATGAATAAATTATAATAAATGATACACAGTAAATGTATAACACTGTACCATGTGTACCAAAAGTAATGTACGTCAGTCATTGTAAAAAAAAAAATCCTGTGTCACCTTGGAAGAAATGCATTGTAATTTACACATTATGAACACATAGTGGAAATATAAAATTCTATAGTGGTAGTACTGAAATGGCTGATTCCAATCTTAGGAATGACGATTCAAAAATGGCAACCATTTTTGACCTGATCATGTGATCGTCATGCAGACTTTACCTGGAAGATAGCTACCAGGCTTGGTTCTAATTTTAATTGTCCTCTCCAGCCTTTTCTTGCTTTCCTCAGGATTTTCAAACCTTATATTGTTCTTTGAATCCGCACTGCTTGCTACACACAGATAATCATTTATCACAGTAATATTATAGCAAAGTGTGTGCGCCATTTTAGCATGCATTATCAACAATAATAAAAAGCAGAATTATCATTTCATTACATGGACGAAGTTTTGTATAATTATATGAAAATAAGAAGTATACATTTTTCTGTTGTTCATTCTTCAAAATGAAAGTTTATAGAATAATTATTGTACATTTGATTTTTTATATTGCTTGCTTTTTAAAATTATTTTTTATTCCATTTTGGTTGTAAAATTACATAATGTACATATATATCTAAGTTTAGAGAATCAGTTTTAGTAAGATTTGTAAGTCTCTGTGAGTTGCATGCTTCTAAACTTCTGTAAGATTTTGGAATATACATATATTGCAACAACTTTTACTATTTTAAGAATACAGGAAGTCAGTATTCTAATATTCTGCCATGCTGAAATTAGTCCTTTAAAAAAATCTTAATTATTATATTTTCAATCAATTTACTAGTATCTTCAAACTTAATATCTAAACTGACATAAATGTATTGAGGTTTCCTTCTAATATCGAGTAGAATTCTCCTTGGACTTAATTGGTTGTCTCCAATAACCCATGTTCTCCTCCATCAAAAGCAAAGTTTTGCAGTTAAACAGAAAAATGCTTCCTTAATAGGCTTCTACAGCAACTAAATACTATAACCACTTTTTTGTCCTATTCCTTGTTTTTTCCATCTTTCAAAGCAAGTTAAAATGTACTAGTAATTGAAGCTGCATGCAATTTTTACTTTTGGATTTTTTTAATCCATTTTTTTATTCATTTCATATTCATTTCATTTCTTCCTTAAATCCTTCATGCTGAGATAAAAAAAAAATACATGTATTCATATATATGTGGCTTGAACAGTCTTCTAAATATATAAAAATCTCAAACTTGGATAGATCTAATACCTGCAAATTTAGGTCAACGTAGGTTAATCAGTTTGAATCTTATTTAACATATCTCAAACCTCTGATGATAAAATCTATATTTTTGTCAATACTGTCAAGTTCAAGATCAAAATTCCCTTTAAAATCTTAATAAAAATTGTTATTATGGCATGTTTGTTGATTTCAAAGCTTTTCAAGCCCATGCAAATATTTTCTTATTTTTCCATATTTTGAAATGTTATTTTTTTGCATAGTATGCATAAAAGCTGATAATCCCTTTATGGGACTACATTGTATATGCTCTCTCGTTATTATATATTCACATGCTCTAGTATTTGTTGTCACTCAGTAAAAATGCAATTTCTACTAGATGGATCAGAAGAGTTGTCACTGGTCACATGTTAATATTCAGATACCTGGGGAAGGTTTCAAAATACTTGTCAAATTAGACTTAGTTCTGTCCACTTGTATACATTTGTCCACCCATTTGCCATTTCCCTCCTCAGACATTTCATCTGTGAAAGCCACTGTGCAATAATCAACAAGTTTATCATTTGATCACTATTTCAGCTGATTAACTATTGCATAGCCAATATATTGCATACTGAATTTTTTTTTCATTTATCTTTTATAAGTGCAATTGCTAATCCTCTCTTTAAATACATGTAAAATCTTATTATATATTTTTAAAAAGAAACATATTTTAACAGTAAACATGTCATACATATTAAAAAAAAATGACAATTTATACAGATTACTTATAACAATTGAAATCAGTTCACATCTTCATCATATATGCTTTAAATATTTAGAATTAATATGAAAATAAAACTGATGGAAAATTTCATGCTCAATGAATAGTTATACGAAAAAAAACTTTAATTGTAACACATTCAATCTTCTAGTTTTCACAAAAAATCTTTCCAAACAGTCTTTTGCATGCACCCTCTTTATTGCTGTATACAGCTTCCGATTAAATGATTTTTTATTTCACATTTGCATAGTGCACCCTTCTGTAAAATAATGATAATTTTTACTCTTTATTTGAAAATGAGTAGAAATACATTAATTCATCTACCATAAAAAAGCAAATTGATACTAAAGTCTTGAAAAACTTGCAAGTTTTGTTTTGATTATTACAATATGCATGTATGTATTTTTGCATAGCTTCCTTTTGTTACAAGTTTGTAAAGAGGGTACATTATGCAAAGGTGTTAAATTTTCACAAAACAGCATTTGAAAATTAAATGTATCAAATATGATCCTTAAAAGAAAACTATGCTCTTTTGAAGTAAAAAAAAAAAAAAAAATTGGTCAGATAAAATGACCCAGATGAAATACACTGAGAGAAAGCTATAATTAGTAAGAAGATGGTCACTCCTCGACGTACCTCCTCTACGTTTTAATATACCCTTCCCCGGTCTAAGATCCAACTCAGCTAAATCTTCTACACAACAAAATCAGACAAGGTCATTCAAAATGGGGTCAAAGGTTCTGGTTTTTAACAGTGTCAATTGAGGACTGGAAATCCATTTTTAAGTGATAACATATGGTGAATACAAGAATTTATGTTTCAAAATTGTGAAATATGTTTTACCATATTATCATATACATGTATAAATCTGAACATACGCAAGTACCATAATTACTAGTACTACAACTTTATATCCATGAACATGCAAATTCAATTTCTATTATTTATTATTGTGTATGGGTTTTGATTATCCTGATGTGTTTTACCATGCAATGGGTGTACACTTGTACATTTATATCATGCAAGAACAGTACCTATTTATTTATCCCTCGTTCTGAATCATACTTACTCAAAAGTTCAACTGTAATCGACTGCAATTCATGGTTTAATTAATTGCAAAATTGCTGTTTTTTTTTTTTTTTTTTTTACTTAACATCAGAACTGGAATTCAAACATCTTCATAAAGCCATACTTTGTGAAATAAATATTTAGATATTAAGTCCAACAGACTTTTAGATATAGTGGAAGCATTTTCATATGTTGACACCCAATAACAAACCCTGACTATGTGGAACCCTGGGATACATACCGTCTTTAAGGTTGGCTTTTGCTTCTTGTACTTTATTCTGTAACATCAAAATCTGCCGTTCTAACTGCTCATTAATTTCTGATTGTGTCTCGTATCGAGTTTTCCACTCATTCCCTGAGAAAAACACAAAGGAAATACCACTTGTTATTTGAAAAGTAATGGGATAAATGCATCCTAATTTCCAATCTAACATTCTATGAATAATGGTCTGTGTTTTAACTGTATAAACAGTGTGCATCAATTTATGCAAATTAAGTTCACATGAATTTAAAAAAAAATAAAATTGATGAACAAAAATAAGGTTCCAACTTAAATTAAACTACTCAAGTATATGTGCCCCTGTATATACTAATAAATTAAATGACTCATTATTTTTATCTGAATATGTATCATATGATTCACACTTGTTTACTACAAGTATAATCTTCAATAAAGAAATACAAATTTCAAGCAAAACCAAATTTGCCCCAGTATTAACCACCTTGCTTATAAGTGTCCCTGCTGCAATTTACATCTGGAAAAAGTTTTAGTATTTCCATATTCCAAACTTATTGAAAATTGTATAGAAATACTTGTTTTGAGGAGAATCAAAATAAATTGTTTTGATTAATTTCCTCCCTATTTTTTTTTTTTAATGAACTCATCACATTTTTGAACCCAACACTTGCAAAAACTGCATGATAGTTTTGAGTAAGGTTCTATGTCAATATTGTATGTGTACTTATTTAATGGACTTACATTTTATTGCCTTTGGTCAAAACTAATTTATAAATACTTTTAAAATCATACATATTATATTAAATATACATACTGATGGATCTATTTTTTAATTGCACTGAAAAGTCCTTAAATTTTTAATATGCACAAACAAGAACACATACAGTATATTTGAAAGTACAATGTATATATATTTTTTTAGGAGGAGCTGTTTCTAATATTTGTAAGCAGGGCAGGTGCTTCCTGGTGCAAATATGGTACATATAACTGTTATCAACTTGGCATCATGCATTACAGTACTGTAAACGTACATATTTTAGCAGAACTCCTTTTACACTCCTTGTCCACAAATTGTTGGTGTTGTTTAGATTGTAGTGCACTAATTTATTATTGCACTGATAGGTAAAAGATGATGCTTGCGCTAAATTTTAAGTGCACTTATTCATGTACGTTTACAATACAGTAATATTGGTTTCAATAAAACTATTTAGCTCTTTCAGTGATGAAAAAGTGGGTTTTCAGATAACTAAGAATCATCATACTGAAAAGTTAGCATGCATGGATAAAAATGAAATAATAAAATGATTGAGTTGAAATTTTAGGCATGTACATGTACATGTAGTAGCTATGAGAGATTATACAAAAAGATATGTTTTATGAAGGATATAAAATAAATTCAGTAATGGAATTCATGCAGGCATCTACAAGCAAAGACTTCAATCAGGATAAACCACAGACTTAGCTTAAGGAAAACAAAGAGAACAGTTGGGAGGTCTACAATTCAAAATTCTTTTTGAAATTTCAAAATGTCTGCACACATTTGACATGTCACTGTCTCTTAAAATACAGTATCATATGTAATTCTCTTGTCAAAATTGAACTATCCAATCACACGGTTCAATTCTTTTCACTACCAAAGGTGATAACATGATTACAACAATGTAAAATTAAAACCATGTATTTTGTTAGCTCATTTCACAGACTTCTGATTCATATGTATTTTGCTGCCTAAGTGTAGTATATTGATAAATGCATGAGACAGTGATATTCGATAATTTGTGCAGCCATTAATATGGGTGTAACACGACTACTCTTACAATCCAAATCATCGGAACTTGATGCACTTGAGCGATCTCGCTTGCTGTCTGTAATAATATATCTAGACATAACTAAAAACACACAAGCTTATTGTTACTAATGATTTTTTTTTTCAATGGAGGGAACCATGCACACAGCAATTAAATGTTGGATTTGCATTAAGCAAAACAAAGTATCGCCCACACTATAAGATAATAATATTTTCATAAAATAAAAAAATTGGTTGAAATAGTAGTTATGTACAAGTAAAATGAATAAATAACACAAAGTAACTGGAAATCAGGGATTAATATGACCTAGCTAATAAATGAATTCAGACCCTAAAATGATGATGTGCTTCAGATGACAAAGCAGCTTAAACTATAATTTTATTTTCTTAAAAAATATTATTTTAGAATAAGACATATCAGAGGGACACACTTAACCCTTAGAGAATCAGATATTTACAACAATGGCACTGCAGCATAAGACATGAACAATATATACTGGCATTTACTATGAAGGTACTTGAAAAAAAAAAATCTAGCAAAACTACTGCTCACAAAATTATAATTCTGTACTAAAGAAAGATTTCTATTATCACTGGCTACTAATTATACTACTGGTAATTACCGGTCACTTGGGAGTTGATGGGAAAGAAAAGAGGGGATGAATTAGAGGAATTACAAGACACCTACACAATATCAATCTAAACATTTACAGGGATTTGAAAAATGTGTAACTTATACTTAATCTGATTATCATTATATTATTTACTTTAAGGATCAACTTTTTCACATTTCATTTACAGATATATGCCTAATCAATGTAATACAAGCACCACAGATGTAATATTACAGATGCAATTAATTTTTAGTTCATTAAATTCACATACAGAAAAATTTCCTCTGATGAATACATTATATATGTCCTACCTTCATTGTCGATAGTGTCATATCGCTTTTCCAGTTCCTCTACTGTTGCTCTTAATTCAGCGGCTGACTGCTCCAACATTTCTCTGGAAATGTACATAATACATATATGTACGTCACTTAATTAGTATATATTCAGAATTTTGTGATAATACAAATAAATTTGATGTGTATCAGTATGACATACATCCTGTATAATGTTACACAGTTGTCTAAACTTTGGTATCTCGAACACCATGGATATGTCAAAATGATTCGAAAGTCCCAAACCCTTATTCTTTAAGTATTTTACTCTAGATATCTCAAATCCTTGGATATCTCATAGTTTTTTCTCCGTCCCATTGAGTTCGAGATAATGAAGTTTGACTGTATTTTGTGATTGTTTTCTGAAAAGTAAATGATTCTTTTTCTTTTAAAAGGAAATGTGTGTGTGCATGTGTGTATATGTAGGGGGGGGGGGGGGGAAGGAAGGGGGATGGGGGCTTGATATTACAACCAAGTTCAGTCTCTAATAGAATGCATTCTAAAGACCAGTTTGTAATCTGAAGCTCTCTTCTCTCTCCAACAAATCCAAACATTTCAATGTTTTCAAAGTCATTTTATAATTAATCACATTTTAGCATCACATACTCAAGGTACCATTTATTCTACAATTTCAAGATTAATTGTTGCAAGATTAAAGTAAAAAAAGAAACCCACACAATTACTCCAAAATTAAAACAATTAAAAAAGTCAAATATTTTATCCTAGTAAGAAATTTACACAGAATACATTTTAGCCCTTTATAACTAAGTAATCTAAATATCAAACAAACTTTAACTTAGTGTAAATATGTACAGTAATTGGGTTTTTAAGTTTAAAGTACCAAACATTTAACAAGATATCCTAGTCAAGCATCATTCACATTCTTTTATAGTTCTGTGGAAAAAAGTTAATTTTAAAAAAAAAAGTAAAAAAAAAAAAAAAATTACTAAAACACACATTTATCATAATATAGTATATCTGTATTTTTCTTTGTTTTGTGAAAATTTTCATAAATAAATGAATTTTGAATTAAGATATTAAAGACAATGCATGTATGTGAATACACTCATATTTATATGCAAACTCTTTGCACAATAACCATACAAAGTTTCAAGAATGTTTTAGTATCATGCATGGTATCCTGCTAAAATATTTTTATACTATGGAATTGTTTCATTTGCGGGGGTCAATGTTCATGGACTATCAAAATTTTACCAGTTCATGGGGACGCAATTTAGAAGGTAATTCATATCTACTGAAAATTCAATGGACTGATACAGTGACAAAGATAAGGTACGTGGGAATGTAAAATTGTGGGTAAGGGTGACCCACAAAATCCATGAACTACTTCTCTTTCCATGACAGGATATTGAAATGAAATGTCAATCAATTAATCATTTCAGATAAGATCTAAAATGACAAAAAGCAGAGTGTGACGTGCAAAGATAGGGGACTCAATAGACATGCTTTAATCTGAATACCCTGCTGTAGTGGAACTCTCTAGATTTGAAGTTAATTATTTGCCATATGATAATAACATTTGTTTACTGACTTAATCCCTTAACATAGCAAGAAAAATTGCATGTTTGACTCATGAATGAATTTTCCTACTTTCCTCATTTGTTTTATGGTACCACACTTTTACCTTTAATTGTTTCTATTTGCTATAGAAACAATCATGACCACACTCACCCAAAAGACAACTCACTTCCAATTCAAGACAACTTGCTCAATATATATACAAAAATTGCATAACATTCAAAATCACTGTTTTAGCTAGATAAAATGTTATCATATAACCATATGAGATAAAAATTCATTATATAATATAATTGAAAATAATAAATTTAAAGGATATTGTTCAAAATATTCCTGAGAACAAAGTTGGAAGTCATTGACAGGAAAGATTAAAATCTGTTGGTGCTGTCTTAGTTGAAGAATTACATACATGTATGATGCACAAAATTGATGCTAAAGGCTCTCCTTAAATCTCTCTGTTTAATCCATGAGCAACAGATAATTTCATGTTTTTATACAAACTGTTAAGTCAGGGATAGACATTAACTTTCAGATTGACTTGCCCTTCGGGCAAGTGATCTAAAACTTTGACTTGTCCGAATGCAAAACTTGGTTACCCAAAATAAGGAAAGAACTTAAGAAGAAAATTATTTTTTACTGTAAATGTTATGATAAGAAAAAAATGTGACCGAATACACTACTGTCAATTTGGCAAATTGAGCTACCTGAAAAAAAAATCAGTGTAGAGTTTGTACATAAATGTATACCACTGTCCTGGTAAATTTGACCTGTTAACACACACTGCCACGTAGCAATAACCCTCCATTTTCTTTTAATAAAATTCATATTTTTAAAAATTATTTTTGGTAAGGTACTTTTGTGAATCGTTATCCTAAGAGATAACCGTGAAGCAGCGCTAAAAGAATATAGAACTTTGCTATTTAACATACATTTTTTTTTATCTTGATCACGATACATCGTGTTACACTGTACTTATATTCTGTGAGTGAATACATAATCTAATTTCCTAATAAGAAGTTAACAAAGTTGTTAGACATAGAGCGTGTTTACCAAGAAAGAAAACAGAATAACGAACGTGATATTTAAATGAATGGTATAATCAAGAAATGCTACTGAGAAATTCCGAATGCAAAAACAATGTCAGTCAGGTACCTGGTGGAAATCAAGTGTTAATTTTTTGTTTTATTTATAACTTGATGTAAACTAAATAAATATGTACATTTCTATGAGAAAAATTTACTTGCCCGATCGGACAAGTATGTCGTCAGTTTCACTTGCCCGAAATGAGAATTTACTTGTCCCGGGCAATCGGACAACCGTTAATGTCGATCCCTGTAAGTAATATTGTTTATTAATTGTTTGTAACTTGCTTGTACCATGGGCACTCCCTTTTCCTTACTAGGTAAATAAAAATATTTCCACTTTGCTATGCCATACTATATTTCCTATGTACATGTATCAATAAATTACAGGTACGTAGGAAATATGTTTATTGGTATACTACTAATTAAGATGTGGACTGCCTATAGCTTGTACATACAAATGGGGATTTGAAGTTTGGGTATATTAATCAGTCATCACCAGGGCTTTGACATTTACATATTATACAGTATCCCATCAAACTTGATGATTCTATGCCAGCGCTTTTTGAGTTAAGGTTTTATGAGTGTTTCTACACTTGATTATTTGATTTCAAATGTAATAATATTCCATGATTGAATCTTAACTTTCATAATAAAATTTATAAAAAATTGACACAGGTGCTCTTTTTACAATTTTTTAGAACATATGGCTCATTAGATAGAACGTTCTATCGTTAAAATGATATTGTCCTACGGACCCGGTTTAACGATAGAATTCGTTCCGTGTATTGGCAATGTTGCAAAATAAACACGGGTGATAACTCGAACTCTGTGCATTTTCTATGAACAATCCAGAGAGTTCCGAATGTCAACATGGTGTTAAATTTGAAGCGAGGAAAAAACGTGGAGAAAATGAGTTGAATTTTCGTATTTATATGGATTATTTTTTAGGTTAAAAGGCATATACAATATCAAAAGGTTTGTTATGATTAATTTGGTAGTTATTTTCAGTGCAACTCCTTTTGTTTTCTACAAAATCATTTCGGAGTGGATCCACTCCGATTTGCTACATTGCAAGTATATGGAATGTATTCTAACTGTGGTGAGGGCTTGTCCCGAGACACAGTTAGATTACTCTAACTAATGGCTCATGAAAACAGATGAACACAAGTAAAACACTTTAATTGGTATAAAAATATTTTTGAACAAAAATATTGAAAAAAAAACCCAGAAATCTTTATGATTATCAAGATGCACACAGAATATCAGAAAGAAAGCCATGGGCTTGAAGACGAGTTAACTTTATATCAGTGCAAGCTTTCCACAACGGGGGCGAGTTGTCTTGAATGCGTTTTGATCTTTCACAAACACCAGCAGGTGCCCGCTGACAATATACCGACATATCTACATACAAGCCATAGAATACCTTACCAAACTTTATATCAGTAATTTCTTTGGTACTACTAGCTCAGGTTATTCAAAATACTTACTTCATTTGTTTTTCTTGCTGAATTTCAGCTCTCAACTTTTCCAGTTCGAAGTCATCCATTACTTCGACCGCCATTTTGACTCTCTTTGTATCCAACGAAACGTCATAATCAATGTAAGTGGGGCGCTTAGGATTGGGAGGCGATGTCGCGGGAATATTTAAAATTCTTATATCGGATTATAAGGGAGACAACTTGTATAATACTCTACCTACCGTTTACATATTAAAAATTACAACCCCTATATACTTATTCAGGGCTGTTCCTAAAAATTGAAATAGCAGGGAACATTAAAAAAGGGGGGTTTGGGGTGTCTCCTCTAACAGGGTTTTGATAGAGAATACAATAATCTGGGAATTTAGTTATTATATAAGCAGGAAATTCCCCAGCCCCTGGATCTTAGGAATAACCCTGCCTATTACAAAGTTCATCATTGATTTAAACTCAGATTTTAATGAAACATAGTCATTGGACTTGGACACAAGTTAATTACTCCAACTACTTTAGGGTCAGTCTGATTAAAATCAAACCTTCCACTAGTTCCTTTATTTTGATGGTCGTGAGACCATCAAAATAAAGGAGCTGGTGGAAGGTTTAATTTAATCAGACTGTTCCAACACAAAGAAAATAAACGTACATATACACATGATATGATGCTAAATTTATTAAGTGCACGGAAATAAGGTATGGCAGGAAAAAGAGTGCAAAGATAAGGGTGGACTGGAGAATGTAGAAATGGTTAAGCTGGGTGGCATAAGAATCTTCTCAATTCTTTGTTACATTTAATTATTTGCAGCTTTTACAGTGTACACGTACCTAACATTATTTTGGTGTCCCACATTAAGGTCCCCAACCAGGGTCATTTCAAGTTCATGTTGTAAGTATCTGATTTCAGTTGGGATCCATCTGGGGGACAAATACATGTATTACACATAATTAATCAAAGCCGAGTTAAATGAGCAATAAAGAGTGAAAACTATTGATTGCGACATCATTAGCATAGAATGATGAAAAATACAACATCGTGCAAGCATAAATGTTTCGCAACATGCAAGAAAAAAAAGGAAAACTCACCATAAGAAGATGTAAACATCAAACAAAATATATAAATTGCATAAGAATGGGAATAACTGCATCATCTTTTTTTCCTTTTTTTTGGCAAACTAAATTAATGCTTATTTAACAGTTGCAAGCATCAGTTTTACTGGGTCAACTGATGCGTCGCTGATAAAACTTAGGTTGCAACCATTAAATCAGCATTAAAAGTCACATATAAGAATTGAGAAGACATGCAGTTATTCCCAAAGTTATGGACTTTAGAGGTGATTAATAGTGTTTGAGGTTAACAAGAAAAAATATCAATATTCACCTCAGTGGTCAATGTTTCGACCAGAAAATTTACAACTAGCTACTATGTATTTCATGACTGGAAAAATATCAAACTATTCATCACCACCTCAAAAGTCCAAAACTGTTTTGTTACATAATTGTCCAGGACTGAATAAAGAAGACAGAGAAATGTATTGTACGTGACACAATTTGTTTAACAAGCTTCTGGCTCAGGTAGTATGGGTTTAAAATGTCCATTTTATGACATCTCTTTAATCCCTTTTCTGAAATGAATCATTTTCCATCAGTATGTAAACTAAAAGGAAAGCACCCTCCTCCAACTCATGTTACAAGGTACATAGGAAATAATTATATTTATTTGACCAGAAAAATATTTACACCCACATAAGTTCAAAATTATAGTTGCCATCTTTTTGGCATAACCTCAGTATAGAAATGCATATTCTGAGTAATACTATTTTTAGATTTATGTACATGTAAATGCATAATTAACTCTATATTCTCAAAACTATATAAAATTCTAACATTCTATTACATGTAGTATCTTCAATTTCTGATCTGAAAGTAATATAGATCAATATTTAAAATCAAAGGTTTAACTATTTTAGCTTGTGTGTAGTTAATTAACTAATGTGGGAAGACCTTATTTTTTAAAGTTCATATCTCCAATGTACAAAATTACAGAAAAAGAAAGTCAAATCATTTAATAGGATTTTATTATAAAGTTTTTTCCCAACTTTTCAGATCTAAGTAAACACTGACCACAGTGATAATAGGAAATCTAAAATTTGTCTTTGGCAGCAAACTTTCATAAAAATTAAATTATTATAACTTGTAAAGCATTTTAAAAATTATATTACAAACATACATACAAACATGTATTGTTATTTTTATCAGATATAAATAAAAGCCAACTGAAATAACACTCTTCATCATATGTTTAAACAAAGATCTACATCTTGTATATTTCATACATAACAGGGTGAAATAAATGAATTTTAAAAAAAAAAACCACTCATACATTCATATACTGAATCAGAAATGCTTACAGTAGAGTTCACAAAGGTACCTCATACCTTTGAAGTCTTTGGTAAAGCAAGTAACAATTCAAAATATTAAATAACATGTGAACATGCTTTCTGTTTTTAAAATATTAAAATAATCTGAACTTGGAAGAATACAAAAAAAGGAACAGTCACAGTTTGATTTCAACAAATATTATTGAAATTCAATTAAAATTTGAACATTAATATCTCAATTCTATCACAGTGTTTTGTGGCATTATTATTTTCTATTCTTCAGTTCATTGTTTGTGATGGACTAATTTTTAACAAATAAAATAACTTATTAATTTTTAAAGATACGAAAAATGTCAGGCACACACAAGAAATGCATAGTTTTTTAGCAAATTATTGCTATCAAAGTATTAAATATGTCTGCATCATCACCTTATAATATTACAAATATTAACCTGTCATTTGTAAGTTAAACATTAACAGAATTATTATGCTGCATAAAAGGGGACTGTAAACTTCAGTAAATATAAGACATGAACTGGCACACAGTTTTGAGGCTACAGTCATAATATAATTGAACAGTTATATGTTTTACCTTGGTCAAATAAAAAAAATAAAACAAAACCAGCACTGATACGATATTAATATTATTTAAAAAAGAATACATAGTAGATCTTTTACAGACAGAAATAGCACCAAGCATTTTTTAAGTAAAACTTTTAATCATTACATTTTTTTCCTCAGAAATACCATCATCAATAATTATTTTCAAAGCAATCTTATTTCCAGAGTTGAATTTAGCCAATTCTGTACTTTTCAATGCATTTGAGAGTATGGTTACCACTTCATATGAATGCATGATGGCATATGTATTTAAAAATATTTCTTGTTCATAAAAGTAATTTGTTTTAAAATTTCATCTTCTTTAATATGAAAATAAAATGACAGATTTCTGTCCTGTTAAACCAAAAATAAATACAAATCATAAAAGTTTATGCAAAAGATCTTTCAAAATCCCCCGACCCAAAAAAAATCTCTCCAGAACATATTACTAGCATCTTCATGTCACATTTATTTAATACTGAAACTCACAAAATGAAATATACTGTAAAAACTTGCCATTTTGAATACTACCTGTAGTTGGGGACTTACTCATAAATATTTAAAAAAGATAACAACTAGATTTATAACTGTAGATTTTAAACAAGTAACATCAATCTCTATTAAATCCTACTAGGGTAGTTAAATCCTTAATGTACTGCAAAGTGGATGGATTGTTAGTATAACATTAAAACTCTGATTTCAAACTCACAGTCAAAAGACTGTAAATCTCTAAATAGCACCAACAAATGACTTGTATGTTTAATGTACATAATTATATTAAAAATTTGGATAAATTCTGTAGGCACTTCCTCAAAATACTGTCCTCATATAAAAGACATTAAATTACAATGGTGAAACTGAATCATGTTTTATATTGCTGTAAATCAGTCATATTTTTGAATTTTCACACTGCACTAAATACATCCAAATGCATATATTAATACAATGTACCTTACATTTTCTCTGCAAAAACTCTCACATACTCTATATACATATGTATATATTCAAATCACTTTGTACAAATGACAGATCACAGTAACCATGGTAACATCCAATCACAGTACACAATAATTCAAACATCAGCAGCTACTTCTGACTTGGTCACACTTGCCAGATCAGTAGATGATTCGTGCTATCGTCGCGGCCCGCTGACTCATTGGCCGCATTATTTCTGAAGTCCTCATACCCATCACCTCCACTGATCACTAACATTCGCGAAGCCAGTGTAGTCGTAGCTGCCATGGATGAACGTCTGTGTATTCCATGTAACGCTAAGTTTTCACTAATACCGTCTTCTTCCTCCCCGCCTTCCACTTTAACAGTAGGAGGAGTAACTGTCATTTCTACACACGTTAAAAATCTCACATGCCCTGTATGACCGTTGACTAACCCTGTCAATGAGAATTTATCATGTTGTATTTTTTCAGTTTTTGTATCAAGCATGCATAAATCACACAAATCATTTTACAGGTCATTTCAGAGTTTAGATATTTATGCAATCTGATCCTCCAAAGAAATTTAAATTTTGCAAGTTATTTAACCAACTCTATCAGTGATAAAAGATTGGCTTTTAAAGTGATATATTTTTTTATGAATTTTCAGATACATTTTATAAAATGATTCTCCACTGACCTGTAACAGTGGGGGCCGGGATTGACCCCCTAGTTGTTGTGGATGTGATACGAGGCATTGTGATAGTCAGTATCACTCCAGCACTCGTCCCCACCCACAACAGGTCCTTACAGACCATCAGGGCTGTGATCCGTAAACAGGCAGCTTTATGTTGGCGTATTATGTCATCAGCAGCTATTAAACACAAAAATAAATTGTCAGCATACAAGCCTAGACAGCTTCATGAAGATTGCTGCCCACAAGATGGATTGAACAGTCCCTTGCTTGAACTACAGTAAAACTTGTCTAATCTAAACACCACTGGTTCCAAAGAAATTGGTCAGATTAGACAATATTTCGGATCAGAAAACATTTTTAACAATTGAATTTACTGAAAGGGATTTCAAGTTTGCATCATATTAGGCAAGTTTTTGGAAATACACAACATCTGGATTAGACAAGTTTCACTGTATATATTTTTTGCATTAACTAAATAGGAGATGCCAAGGAAGACAGTTTGTATAATTGTACATTTGCTCTTATTTTTAGAAAGTTAGCTTTCAAAGGAGCTATACCAGCACAAAGACACTTAATTCAGGAGGTGAAATGACACATCGCTATTACTGAGCAAACATCTGAATACAAAAGTGTACTGGCCTCAAAACCATAAACTGAAAACAGAATCGAGTCAAAATTTCAAATGAAAATAACTTCTGAAATAATTTTGATAAACAAAATTTTAATCATGTGTTTGTATTTAAATATTATATGAACATGGAATTTTTATACATGTATGAAAAATAAAACTTAAGATATTCAGAATTAAAATTCTGACTTAAGACTATTCTCAGTTTATGGTCTTGGGCCCTGATTTCAATTGGATTTATTTCCTTAAATCATGTGAATATTACACTTATACTGTAAATTTCAAGTCATTACTGGTGATTGCAATATTGTATTATTTTGAAGTACCAGTAGCTCTCACATTGAATCTTTTAGGTTATTGCTTATTATTAGTTTTACATTTAGAATGTTTAGGAGATAGTTATGGTACTTATACTCAAGTTTATGGGTCAGTACTGGAGTTTAACTGACATATTACTTAAATATATGAGAAGACAATTATGGTACTTACATTGAAGTTTCTGGGCCACTGCTTGGGCTATACTAACTTCAAGAAGGAATTCATAGGAAGTGGCGTGGTACAGGAGGAGTTTGGAGCTCTGTTGAGTGGCCATCCATACTCCCTGTCCTGAACACACTAAACACTGGATACAGCGCTCCGAATCTGATGTCGCTTGGAAAGAAGTCTACAAAACATGGAAACATGAAATGTCTTCAAACAAGAGGCCCATGGGCCACATCGCTTACCTGAGCACATTGGCTAGGCAAAAGCACAATCAGTTCAGTATTGAAAAGACCGGGGGGGGGGGGGGGGGGGGGGGGCTTGAATTTTAAACTACCTGATGATGCTTCCATGTCAATATAACAAATGGCTTTGTTGTACTTGAGAAGATTTTTTAAAAAAAATTCCCATATATTCCTTTGTAAAAATTTGATCCCTCATTGTGGCTCCTCCCTATCCCAGGGGTCATGATTTGAACAAACTTGAATCTACACTACCTGAGGATGCTTCCATATCAATATGACTAAACATAGCTTTTCTGTTCTTGAGAAGAAATATTTTTTCTATATGTTCTTATGTAAAACTTTCCATCCCCCATTGGGCCCCATCCTACCCCTGGGGGGTCATCATTTGAACAAAATTGAATCTACACTACCTCAGGATGCTTCCATATCAATATGACTAAACATAGCTTTTCTGTTCTTCAGAAGAAGATATTTTCCTTTACATTTCTATGTAAAACTTTGATCCTCCATTGTGGCTCCGCCCTACCCCCGGGGGTCATGGTTTGAACAAACTTGAATCTACACTACCTGAGGATGCTTCCATATCAATATGACTAAACATAGCTTCTCTGTTCTTGAGAAGAAATATTTTTTCTATATGTTCTTATGTAAAACTTTCCTTCCCCCATTGGGCCCCACCCTACCCCTGGGGGTCATCATTTGAACAAAATTGAATCTACACTACCTGAGGATGCTTCCATATCAAAATGACTAATCATGGTTTGCAGTTCTTCAGAAGAAGATATTTTCCTTTATATTTCTATGTAAAACTTTGATCCTCCATTGTGGCCCCGCCCTACCCCCGGGGGTCATGATTTGAACAAACTTGAATCTACACTACCTCAGGATGCTTCCATATAAATATGACTCATCATGGCTTTGCTGTTCTTGAGAAGAAGATTTTTAAAGATTTTTCCTATATATTTCTATGTAAAACTTTGATCCTCCATTGCGGCCCCGCCCTACCCCCGGGGGTCATGATTTGTACAAACTTGAATCTACACTACCTCAGGATGCTTCCATATAAATATGACTAATCATGGCTTTGCTGTTCTTGAGAAGAAGATTTTTAAAGATTTTTCCTATATATTTCTATGTAAAACTTTGATCCTCCATTGCGGCCCCGCCCTACCCCCGGGGGTCATGATTTGAACAAATTTGAATCTACACTACCTGAGGATGCTTCCATATAAATATGACTCATCATGGCTTTGCTGTTCTTGAGAAGAAGATTTTTAAAGATTTTTCCTATATATTTCTATGTAAAACTTTGATCCTCCATTGTGGCCCCGCCCTACCCCCGGGGGTCATGATTTGAACAAACTTGAATCTACACTACCTCAGGATGCTTCCATATAAATATGACTCATCATGGCTTTGCTGTTCTTGAGAAGAAGATTTTTAAAGATTTTTCCTATATATTTCTATGTAGAACTTTGATCCTCCATTGCAGCCCCACCCTACCCCCGGGGGTCATGATTTGTACAAACTTAAATGTACACTACCTAAGGATGCTTCCACATGAGTTTCATCTTTCCTGGCCCTATGGTTCTTGAGAAGAAGATTTTTAAATGATGCCATTATTTTTTCAGTAATTCCTAATAATTTCCCTGAAAGAGGGCGTGGCCCTTCATTTGAACAAACTTGAATCCCCTTTACCCAAGGATACTTTGTGGCAAGTTTGGTTGAAATTGGCCCAGTGGTTCTTGAGAAGAAGTCGAAAATGTGAAAAGTTTACAGACAGACAGACGGACAGACAGACAGACAGACGGACGCCGGACAAAATGTGATCAGAAAAGCTCACTTGAGCTTTCAGCTCAGGTGAGCTAAAAAGTAATTCCTATTTTAGCAAAACACATGCTTATCATTTATTTAATATACATGCTCCAGTGAAAAATTTTGAATTTAGTATGTATATACCTTTAGTGTTTCTGATATTTCTAGGACAATTAAAATATACTTTTTTTTTCAAAAGTACCCCAATAATTTTCATTTCATTTTCTCTCTTTCATTAGTTGTAAATGCATTCAATATATATGATTATGTTGCATACTAGTAACTGGTTTTATTTACCTCTGTACTTAATGTAAGGGGGTTGATGACCTTCATAACATTTTGACAGCCACACCACAATTTACCAGCAACAGCTAACATCTTATTTATAGGACTCTGGGCCGTCCCAATACTTCTGGTATATGGATTCTCTGCATCCCATATTCCCTCTGGAAAATAATTACCAGTAACTTTGTTACCACGAAATCTCAGACAGTCCATGGTCAACAATTTGTAAGAAAATTTGCTAATTTTCAAATGTTAAAATATGAATTAACAGCCCCTAAGGATGCTTGCATGTTGACAAATTGTATACTTGACATTCTTCAATTTATCTTTCAGTTTACTTCAAAACATGAATTGTATTATCATTTATGCCCAGGGGAAATTCCTTATAGACCCATAGCATAGAGACCCACAGAGATTACTCTTTTAACAGTTTTGAACTTGATTTTATCATTAAAAGTTTCAAATTCATATACTTACCACTATCTCTTTTATACACTATTAAATCTCCATTAGCTAAGGAAGCAAATACCTTGTTGTCTAAATATCTGCAAATAGATTTCAAAACATGTAAACAAGTAATAAAACTGTCAAATTAAACATGCAACACTGCTGCTGGGGTTTAAAAATATCTTGTAAAATAAGCACACACATACATGTATAATCAAATGACTGCATGCTTGTGTAGATCTTGCATTTAAACGATCATGATAAATTTGAGGTATATAGTAATAACAACTTACACTATACAATAAACGGGTGATTCATGATGTATTTTTAATTTATTCTTTGTTGTTTTAATATTATCTGTACATTGGAATACATGGATGCTGAAAATGAAAAAAAAAAAACCCATCAAAATCAATATAGTTACATTTAAAAAGTCAACAACCATTTTTTTCTTTCATTTCATATGGAACATTTGATGCTTGAAAAATAAGTGAACATTAAACATCAATTCTAAATTCATTTCTTATGCTTATCCTATTGATTTGACAGTTAAAATGCTATAGAAAAGACATATGTACAGTCTTGTTAAGTCTCTGGGAATAAAAAAATTCATTTACCATCCATCCTCTGTTCCCAACCACATGGTGCTTTTAAGTGAGTCCTGAATCCAGCTACCAGCAATTATAGGATCAGGATTACTGCTAACTGGATCTGGATTAGGAGAAACTGGATCAGGGGTAGGAGCAGGCAGGTCTGCAGGAGGTGGGATTTTCCCTTCCTCATCTATAGAGAAAAAAAATTCCAACAAATTTGAACATTTGTAACCTTGATATCTGTGAATATCAGATCTGTATGGTAAATATTTTATATAATGAACAATGAATTAAACAAAATAAGCAGAATGAAAGGATTTATCTACACATTTCTAAAAAAACAAACCTATTTAAATGACTCAGAAACTTTAAAACTTAATATTATAGGTACCGGTACGTGCACAGACAAATCAAACAAGCAATTTTTCAGAAAAGTTTACTTTGTTTATTAAAGTTTAACCAGGAATACATTTCTTACCATCAACAGACATAGGGTCCTCATTGTTTTCATTCATACTAGGGAAGGGAGTCTCTGTCTCCTCATCACTGGACTCGGATTCAGAATCGGACTTGTCCTCAATGGACTTCTCCTCTTCCTCCTCCTCTGTCCCATCCTCAGTGCCCTCCTCTGTATCATCAATACTGATTTGAGGACTGTCCTCGGACACACTTGCTATCACAGGGTGTTGAGAAATCACAGGGTGCTGGTGCCTCTTACCACTGCTTTTCCTATTGGTGAAGCAGAAAAAAAATGAACGAAAAATATTGTTTCTATTTTACCACTATTTTGCCATCATTGAATGCAAAGTTTCACTGAAGCCCAATTTTTTTCTTTTATTTAAAAAAAAATGCTTTAAACCAGATTTTATACAAAACTCCCACTAAATTCAATAGCACAGAACCCTAATTTTCATAATCTGTGCACAAAGTTCACACAGACCAACAAGATTTTTCAAGCTTTACCTGCGAAAGTTCCCACTGTATGCTGGGACAGCACAGATACAGAGAATTCTGGCATTACAGCCGGGGACGGGAGTGTTGAGGGTGACGATTGGCTCTGGCTGTAAGCTTAGGAGACACATGTGCCCCACGTATCCATCACTATTACATACCCACACCTCACGATAACCTGAGTTGTTCACCCCATCAATTGGAGCTGCACAGGAAAACTGTGAAGTGAAAACAGGACATGGTCAGACTGGAGATGCTTTTATCATTGATTTGTCACAAGGGAAACTCTGAAAAACTTGGGAAATTTATCAGTTTTATACAGGAAAATGTACCACAATTGAATATTTCAGTATATTTTCACCTGCATTCCTGCTCTCGTCTTTGTGATGGGTAATGGTGTCAAAAATTCTGGAGCTCTCTTATCAAACATCTGAGCTGTAAGACAAAAGACAAAAAAACTGAGGGATCTTGGAATACAAACATGTAATACGACCAGAAATTAAAGTACAGGTGCACTTTTTAAACATTTATGTGATTTTTTAATGCCAGTTTTATTTTTGGAATGTTTGTAAACATCAACAGTATTATATTTGACATTAATTAAACTGTAGCAATAAAAGGCTATATGGGGATTCCGCCGACTGCTGACCCACTAACCTAGTTTCTGTTTAGCTTCACTGACTGCAGCCTCCCAGGCTATCCTCTTTTCTCCAGAGCTGAACATAATTTCTAATGGGTAAATAGCTTCTCTGTAATATATATAAATAATTCTCAATTTGCATTTAAATCAAGCCAGAGAAAGTAGATTTAATCTGACTCGATTTTGGCCCCAGAATTTCAAGAAATTTTATCCAGGAGAATAGAATACAAGACTCCTTTCAACAAACTATCTGCTTAACATTCGCCTGTGACAACTTAATCATATGATAAAAAATTGTTCACAAACTGAGAACAAGACTTTTTATGGTTAGATTGCCCATTCAGAAGTATTTGTGTCTGCCTTCTGCATGGTCATAAAAAATATTAATGACCTATGAACATCATGACAAAAAAAATATATACATGTATTTATATAATTATGTATTTCAAAGTATTCATATATTTTTAAGAAAAATTGTGTACAAAATGCCCATTTTACACGTACATTTCTCAATTAAAGTACTCTATTTTGTGATGTCACACCTAAATATTTTTAATGCTTGCATAATTGCAGGAAAATGATAAATATAGCACTTCCTAAAATATTGTTACATTATGTGATTGAACAAGATATACCAGTGTTTTGACAAGTTCAATATAACTCTATTTTATTTCAAAGGCCAAATTATATGCCCTACCATGCCTTATTCTTTGAATAAGTTTTTCAGTATTTTGGCTGAATGTATGCAATCAAAACTGATGTTGATTTATACACATTGCATTATTCTCTATCAATAAACACGTACTGATAAAAGTATTGCAACCTATGCATACATGCAGATGTACAAAATTGCTTTGTTATGTATATTATTCCAATACTGCCTCTGTATCTTAATACTTACTGTGTTGTGACTAGAATATCCACTTTATTAGACTCGGCAGTTGGATTGCGCAACATGGCTTCTGATAGTTGCTTATTTAGTGTTGATAACATATCTTTGACAATTTCTTCAAGACTCTGCAATTCAAACATTTTATTTTAGATTCACCTCTATGTTAAAATATTTCTTAAGGATTGTTTTGTGAAAAAGCAATTATGACAAACTGACAATATTTTGCCAAAATCCTACAGCTACTGAAAGAAGACAGTCATTTGGTTTTTGAATTTTCAAGACTGAGGTCGAAATAAGCTAAAAAGGTCAAGGACAAAGTGCTGAGATAAGGTCAAGGACAAAGTGCTGAGATATCTTACAGAATGAGGGCAATTAAGGCGATTAGTGAGATCACTGATTTCATTCAAAAAACCAATGTCCTCCTCCAGCTGTTCAGGGTCCACTAAGTTCCTCCGGGACAGGTTTGTGGGACCTAAAACGATCACAGGTCAAAAATTTTCCTTTTACTTTAAATTTTCATTAGCTCTTGAATTTGTAAATCACTTTACAATGTTTGTTACAAAACTAAACAAAATTATATCAAAACAGTAGTGAATGATCATTAACATTTATTTGTAATTTATCCCTAGAACTTTTTTTTTCACATATGTATTTCAATGTCAGTAAAATATTTCATGCCCCTTCATGAACTTACTTTTAACAATTTCTACAGCATCTAGGCCAACTTTCAGCCATACTTTATGTTTAATATTTTCTGTAAAATCTTGGCCAGTAGTGGATTTTCTATAATAAAAAAACATAATTTCACATTTTATTAAAACAAACATCTTTCTGTTAAAATACCACTTTCCAATTACATTTATGTTTCATGTAATACCATTTACACAAGTCATAACACAAGCCCACTAATGTATATTCAATATTCTGATGGATATTATAGGAGTGCAATAATACTTTAATAGCATTTTGACTGTTACATCATCAGAGATTAAGCTAATAATATACAGATTGCCATACTTCAAAAGACAGCTTTAAAAATTACAACGTAGATAACTCTTGAACAGGCCGGTAGTGATGCCACGATAAGGTGACCATTGTTCCGTGGCAGGGTGCCACTTTCTAGGGACCACTTAAGTACTTACAAGATAATGGATTTGCGTGTGACAGGCCCACTCCGCCTCTTGAGACTACTTATAATAATGAGATCAGAGAAAGTCCATATACACCACTGGTCTTTTTTACTCTGTAAAAAAAAATCAGTAGTATAATTGTCAAAACAGAGATAAAAACACCTTTAACAGGTACCCTTAATGGTTTTAAAGAACCATTCAGACCTTTAAATCTATTTATAGTCCTTCTGTGTACATTTTACGCTATACTCTGTTTCAAACTTCCAGTGGAATGGAAATTGGAAAATTATCATGAATACCTCAAATTCTATGAAAACCGATACATTTATTGTAAAGTTTAAATGCACTTTTTCTCATTTATAAGATATTTATGGTCTTCATTCTATTTACTGATTTGTTTACCTATAGATCATCCTTTCAAAATCTAACTCAAAGCAGGGGAAATAAATTAAATTTTTGGACTAATCATTTTCAACTTAATTTACTTCATTTCTAAATTCTTTACTTAAAATTTCAATAATTCAGCTGGATAAAAAACTTTCAGCAACTAAATATCTTAAAACCAATGAACTTCAGTTCTGTGTGAGTTGACTTTATCAGGAGTTACAGGACAAAACAAATTGAGCTCAATATACTTACCATTATTTGAACCATGTCATGCCTTATGTACTGTCTATCTGGCACAGCCAGCTATAAAAGCAACAAAAAAAATCAATCTTTAAGTGACAAAAATCATTAAACTCATTATGTCAGCTATATGAGAAAGATTCTCTGTTACCCTTATTAATTGTCAAAAGCATTCCTCTATAATTCATTATTGTTTAGGTTTGTTACTGACTGTCTATGGAAATATATCTGGTTGATCAAATTCATATATGGCATAGCGAAAGCTGAGCAGTCTATGAAAATCAACCCAATATTTTTTATACAAGAAGAATTGTATTAAAATGGCTATAGAACAAATACCAGACCTTGAACATTTAACTAAAAAAAAATGTTCAAGGTAACTGCACACCCTTTACCCATGGACTCTCAATGAGTGAGTATGAGCATGAAGGGGCCAAGGGTAGAGAAAATATTCTCTGGACAAGTGATATCAGATGGACAGAAGGATGGTAAAATATACAGATAGGCAGACAGATCAGTAATGCAAACTTGCAATATGGGGCCCTAATAAGTGATTTATTTTCTCGAGGACTATAATGGGAGTGGCATATACACTTTACTAAATAATTCCTAATATTGAGATGGCTAGGCATTGGCCATATTGCTGGATATAAATTCTCAGCTGCCTGACAAAGAAATACATGTACATTGTATAGTCATAAGTCAAATGTCACATTTAAACCAATGAAAATGCAACACTTCAGTCTGAAGGAAACTAATAATTTGGAAATGCATCCCTTATATTAATTATCAATGAAAGGTCCACCTATATTTTTTCAATGAGTAGATTCTCTAATACATGTAATCATATTCATTATCAGTAACAGTTACCATTACTTAATCATTTATCAGTAAGTTTTTCTATCAATAAAATCCATTATCAGTAAACATTTACTCATGTACTGGTCTACCATTTATCAGTAAAAATCCATAGCATATAAAAGTTATGAATAACTGATCCTTTATTACTTATATATTTATCAGTAACAGTTACTCTATTACTTACATCAGTAATTAGTAAGAGTTCCAGCCTCTTTAGCGTGGCTTGTTGATCCTCCTCGTGTTGGCTTTCGTTGACTGTACCAAGTTTGATGGCAAAGTCATGCATCACTTTCTCTGCCTCCTTCAGCAATGGAAAGTCCGGGTGTCCAGGAGGGGTGTGTTCGATTAATCTCTGCAATGAAGGAAAACATTTCTAGTCTCCATTTTATGAAACTTTTCTAAGGTAGTGATGCTAATGTGCAAAATGTGAATACTTTTTAATAAGCATACGAAAGACCTAACCTTTAGTTGTATTAAAATCAGTTAAAGAATTTATTACAGTGTATAAGATTTTACTAAAATTTAATATACATGAGCGCAGTAAAAATCAAGCTGAAAATTCATTTTTGTTTCATACATGCTTAAACTGCAATTAATCAAATTAAAAGAAATTGTATGAAAATGGCCATATACCAAAATGCAAAATACCACTTCTTTTTAAACATAAGCACCCTCCTCCAACTCATGTTACAAGGTACATAGGAAATAATTATATTTATTTGACCAGAAAAATATTTACACCCACATAAGTTCAAAATTATAGTTGCCATCTTTTTGGCATAACCTCAGTATAGAAATGCATATTCTGAGTAATACTATTTTTAGATTTATGTACATGTAAATGCATAATTAACTCTATATTCTCAAAACTATATAAAATTCTAACATTCTATTACATGTAGTATCTTCAATTTCTGATCTGAAAGTAATATAGATCAATATTTAAAATCAAAGGTTTAACTATTTTAGCTTGTGTGTAGTTAATTAACTAATGTGGGAAGACCTTATTTTTTAAAGTTCATATCTCCAATGTACAAAATTACAGAAAAAGAAAGTCAAATCATTTAATAGGATTTTATTATAAAGTTTTTTCCCAACTTTTCAGATCTAAGTAAACACTGACCACAGTGATAATAGGAAATCTAAAATTTGTCTTTGGCAGCAAACTTTCATAAAAATTAAATTATTATAACTTGTAAAGCATTTTAAAAATTATATTACAAACATACATACAAACATGTATTGTTATTTTTATCAGATATAAATAAAAGCCAACTGAAATAACACTCTTCATCATATGTTTAAACAAAGATCTACATCTTGTATATTTCATACATAACAGGGTGAAATAAATGAATTTTAAAAAAAAAAACCACTCATACATTCATATACTGAATCAGAAATGCTTACAGTAGAGTTCACAAAGGTACCTCATACCTTTGAAGTCTTTGGTAAAGCAAGTAACAATTCAAAATATTAAATAACATGTGAACATGCTTTCTGTTTTTAAAATATTAAAATAATCTGAACTTGGAAGAATACAAAAAAAGGAACAGTCACAGTTTGATTTCAACAAATATTATTGAAATTCAATTAAAATTTGAACATTAATATCTCAATTCTATCACAGTGTTTTGTGGCATTATTATTTTCTATTCTTCAGTTCATTGTTTGTGATGGACTAATTTTTAACAAATAAAATAACTTATTAATTTTTAAAGATACGAAAAATGTCAGGCACACACAAGAAATGCATAGTTTTTTAGCAAATTATTGCTATCAAAGTATTAAATATGTCTGCATCATCACCTTATAATATTACAAATATTAACCTGTCATTTGTAAGTTAAACATTAACAGAATTATTATGCTGCATAAAAGGGGACTGTAAACTTCAGTAAATATAAGACATGAACTGGCACACAGTTTTGAGGCTACAGTCATAATATAATTGAACAGTTATATGTTTTACCTTGGTCAAATAAAAAAAATAAAACAAAACCAGCACTGATACGATATTAATATTATTTAAAAAAGAATACATAGTAGATCTTTTACAGACAGAAATAGCACCAAGCATTTTTTAAGTAAAACTTTTAATCATTACATTTTTTTCCTCAGAAATACCATCATCAATAATTATTTTCAAAGCAATCTTATTTCCAGAGTTGAATTTAGCCAATTCTGTACTTTTCAATGCATTTGAGAGTATGGTTACCACTTCATATGAATGCATGATGGCATATGTATTTAAAAATATTTCTTGTTCATAAAAGTAATTTGTTTTAAAATTTCATCTTCTTTAATATGAAAATAAAATGACAGATTTCTGTCCTGTTAAACCAAAAATAAATACAAATCATAAAAGTTTATGCAAAAGATCTTTCAAAATCCCCCGACCCAAAAAAAATCTCTCCAGAACATATTACTAGCATCTTCATGTCACATTTATTTAATACTGAAACTCACAAAATGAAATATACTGTAAAAACTTGCCATTTTGAATACTACCTGTAGTTGGGGACTTACTCATAAATATTTAAAAAAGATAACAACTAGATTTATAACTGTAGATTTTAAACAAGTAACATCAATCTCTATTAAATCCTACTAGGGTAGTTAAATCCTTAATGTACTGCAAAGTGGATGGATTGTTAGTATAACATTAAAACTCTGATTTCAAACTCACAGTCAAAAGACTGTAAATCTCTAAATAGCACCAACAAATGACTTGTATGTTTAATGTACATAATTATATTAAAAATTTGGATAAATTCTGTAGGCACTTCCTCAAAATACTGTCCTCATATAAAAGACATTAAATTACAATGGTGAAACTGAATCATGTTTTATATTGCTGTAAATCAGTCATATTTTTGAATTTTCACACTGCACTAAATACATCCAAATGCATATATTAATACAATGTACCTTACATTTTCTCTGCAAAAACTCTCACATACTCTATATACATATGTATATATTCAAATCACTTTGTACAAATGACAGATCACAGTAACCATGGTAACATCCAATCACAGTACACAATAATTCAAACATCAGCAGCTACTTCTGACTTGGTCACACTTGCCAGATCAGTAGATGATTCGTGCTATCGTCGCGGCCCGCTGACTCATTGGCCGCATTATTTCTGAAGTCCTCATACCCATCACCTCCACTGATCACTAACATTCGCGAAGCCAGTGTAGTCGTAGCTGCCATGGATGAACGTCTGTGTATTCCATGTAACGCTAAGTTTTCACTAATACCGTCTTCTTCCTCCCCGCCTTCCACTTTAACAGTAGGAGGAGTAACTGTCATTTCTACACACGTTAAAAATCTCACATGCCCTGTATGACCGTTGACTAACCCTGTCAATGAGAATTTATCATGTTGTATTTTTTCAGTTTTTGTATCAAGCATGCATAAATCACACAAATCATTTTACAGGTCATTTCAGAGTTTAGATATTTATGCAATCTGATCCTCCAAAGAAATTTAAATTTTGCAAGTTATTTAACCAACTCTATCAGTGATAAAAGATTGGCTTTTAAAGTGATATATTTTTTTATGAATTTTCAGATACATTTTATAAAATGATTCTCCACTGACCTGTAACAGTGGGGGCCGGGATTGACCCCCTAGTTGTTGTGGATGTGATACGAGGCATTGTGATAGTCAGTATCACTCCAGCACTCGTCCCCACCCACAACAGGTCCTTACAGACCATCAGGGCTGTGATCCGTAAACAGGCAGCTTTATGTTGGCGTATTATGTCATCAGCAGCTATTAAACACAAAAATAAATTGTCAGCATACAAGCCTAGACAGCTTCATGAAGATTGCTGCCCACAAGATGGATTGAACAGTCCCTTGCTTGAACTACAGTAAAACTTGTCTAATCTAAACACCACTGGTTCCAAAGAAATTGGTCAGATTAGACAATATTTCGGATCAGAAAACATTTTTAACAATTGAATTTACTGAAAGGGATTTCAAGTTTGCATCATATTAGGCAAGTTTTTGGAAATACACAACATCTGGATTAGACAAGTTTCACTGTATATATTTTTTGCATTAACTAAATAGGAGATGCCAAGGAAGACAGTTTGTATAATTGTACATTTGCTCTTATTTTTAGAAAGTTAGCTTTCAAAGGAGCTATACCAGCACAAAGACACTTAATTCAGGAGGTGAAATGACACATCGCTATTACTGAGCAAACATCTGAATACAAAAGTGTACTGGCCTCAAAACCATAAACTGAAAACAGAATCGAGTCAAAATTTCAAATGAAAATAACTTCTGAAATAATTTTGATAAACAAAATTTTAATCATGTGTTTGTATTTAAATATTATATGAACATGGAATTTTTATACATGTATGAAAAATAAAACTTAAGATATTCAGAATTAAAATTCTGACTTAAGACTATTCTCAGTTTATGGTCTTGGGCCCTGATTTCAATTGGATTTATTTCCTTAAATCATGTGAATATTACACTTATACTGTAAATTTCAAGTCATTACTGGTGATTGCAATATTGTATTATTTTGAAGTACCAGTAGCTCTCACATTGAATCTTTTAGGTTATTGCTTATTATTAGTTTTACATTTAGAATGTTTAGGAGATAGTTATGGTACTTATACTCAAGTTTATGGGTCAGTACTGGAGTTTAACTGACATATTACTTAAATATATGAGAAGACAATTATGGTACTTACATTGAAGTTTCTGGGCCACTGCTTGGGCTATACTAACTTCAAGAAGGAATTCATAGGAAGTGGCGTGGTACAGGAGGAGTTTGGAGCTCTGTTGAGTGGCCATCCATACTCCCTGTCCTGAACACACTAAACACTGGATACAGCGCTCCGAATCTGATGTCGCTTGGAAAGAAGTCTACAAAACATGGAAACATGAAATGTCTTCAAACAAGAGGCCCATGGGCCACATCGCTTACCTGAGCACATTGGCTAGGCAAAAGCACAATCAGTTCAGTATTGAAAAGACCGGGGGGGGGGGGGGGGGGGCTTGAATTTTAAACTACCTGATGATGCTTCCATGTCAATATAACAAATGGCTTTGTTGTACTTGAGAAGATTTTTTAAAAAAAATTCCCATATATTCCTTTGTAAAAATTTGATCCCTCATTGTGGCTCCTCCCTATCCCAGGGGTCATGATTTGAACAAACTTGAATCTACACTACCTGAGGATGCTTCCATATCAATATGACTAAACATAGCTTTTCTGTTCTTGAGAAGAAATATTTTTTCTATATGTTCTTATGTAAAACTTTCCATCCCCCATTGGGCCCCATCCTACCCCTGGGGGGTCATCATTTGAACAAAATTGAATCTACACTACCTCAGGATGCTTCCATATCAATATGACTAAACATAGCTTTTCTGTTCTTCAGAAGAAGATATTTTCCTTTACATTTCTATGTAAAACTTTGATCCTCCATTGTGGCTCCGCCCTACCCCCGGGGGTCATGGTTTGAACAAACTTGAATCTACACTACCTGAGGATGCTTCCATATCAATATGACTAAACATAGCTTCTCTGTTCTTGAGAAGAAATATTTTTTCTATATGTTCTTATGTAAAACTTTCCTTCCCCCATTGGGCCCCACCCTACCCCTGGGGGTCATCATTTGAACAAAATTGAATCTACACTACCTGAGGATGCTTCCATATCAAAATGACTAATCATGGTTTGCAGTTCTTCAGAAGAAGATATTTTCCTTTATATTTCTATGTAAAACTTTGATCCTCCATTGTGGCCCCGCCCTACCCCCGGGGGTCATGATTTGAACAAACTTGAATCTACACTACCTCAGGATGCTTCCATATAAATATGACTCATCATGGCTTTGCTGTTCTTGAGAAGAAGATTTTTAAAGATTTTTCCTATATATTTCTATGTAAAACTTTGATCCTCCATTGCGGCCCCGCCCTACCCCCGGGGGTCATGATTTGTACAAACTTGAATCTACACTACCTCAGGATGCTTCCATATAAATATGACTAATCATGGCTTTGCTGTTCTTGAGAAGAAGATTTTTAAAGATTTTTCCTATATATTTCTATGTAAAACTTTGATCCTCCATTGTGGCCCCGCCCTACCCCCGGGGGTCATGATTTGAACAAATTTGAATCTACACTACCTGAGGATGCTTCCATATAAATATGACTCATCATGGCTTTGCTGTTCTTGAGAAGAAGATTTTTAAAGATTTTTCCTATATATTTCTATGTAAAACTTTGATCCTCCATTGTGGCCCCGCCCTACCCCCGGGGGTCATGATTTGAACAAACTTGAATCTACACTACCTCAGGATGCTTCCATATAAATATGACTCATCATGGCTTTGCTGTTCTTGAGAAGAAGATTTTTAAAGATTTTTCCTATATATTTCTATGTAGAACTTTGATCCTCCATTGCAGCCCCACCCTACCCCCGGGGGTCATGATTTGTACAAACTTAAATGTACACTACCTAAGGATGCTTCCACATGAGTTTCATCTTTCCTGGCCCTATGGTTCTTGAGAAGAAGATTTTTAAATGATGCCATTATTTTTTCAGTAATTCCTAATAATTTCCCTGAAAGAGGGCGTGGCCCTTCATTTGAACAAACTTGAATCCCCTTTACCCAAGGATACTTTGTGGCAAGTTTGGTTGAAATTGGCCCAGTGGTTCTTGAGAAGAAGTCGAAAATGTGAAAAGTTTACAGACAGACAGACGGACAGACAGACAGACAGACGGACGCCGGACAAAATGTGATCAGAAAAGCTCACTTGAGCTTTCAGCTCAGGTGAGCTAAAAAGTAATTCCTATTTTAGCAAAACACATGCTTATCATTTATTTAATATACATGCTCCAGTGAAAAATTTTGAATTTAGTATGTATATACCTTTAGTGTTTCTGATATTTCTAGGACAATTAAAATATACTTTTTTTTTCAAAAGTACCCCAATAATTTTCATTTCATTTTCTCTCTTTCATTAGTTGTAAATGCATTCAATATATATGATTATGTTGCATACTAGTAACTGGTTTTATTTACCTCTGTACTTAATGTAAGGGGGTTGATGACCTTCATAACATTTTGACAGCCACACCACAATTTACCAGCAACAGCTAACATCTTATTTATAGGACTCTGGGCCGTCCCAATACTTCTGGTATATGGATTCTCTGCATCCCATATTCCCTCTGGAAAATAATTACCAGTAACTTTGTTACCACGAAATCTCAGACAGTCCATGGTCAACAATTTGTAAGAAAATTTGCTAATTTTCAAATGTTAAAATATGAATTAACAGCCCCTAAGGATGCTTGCATGTTGACAAATTGTATACTTGACATTCTTCAATTTATCTTTCAGTTTACTTCAAAACATGAATTGTATTATCATTTATGCCCAGGGGAAATTCCTTATAGACCCATAGCATAGAGACCCACAGAGATTACTCTTTTAACAGTTTTGAACTTGATTTTATCATTAAAAGTTTCAAATTCATATACTTACCACTATCTCTTTTATACACTATTAAATCTCCATTAGCTAAGGAAGCAAATACCTTGTTGTCTAAATATCTGCAAATAGATTTCAAAACATGTAAACAAGTAATAAAACTGTCAAATTAAACATGCAACACTGCTGCTGGGGTTTAAAAATATCTTGTAAAATAAGCACACACATACATGTATAATCAAATGACTGCATGCTTGTGTAGATCTTGCATTTAAACGATCATGATAAATTTGAGGTATATAGTAATAACAACTTACACTATACAATAAACGGGTGATTCATGATGTATTTTTAATTTATTCTTTGTTGTTTTAATATTATCTGTACATTGGAATACATGGATGCTGAAAATGAAAAAAAAAAAACCCATCAAAATCAATATAGTTACATTTAAAAAGTCAACAACCATTTTTTTCTTTCATTTCATATGGAACATTTGATGCTTGAAAAATAAGTGAACATTAAACATCAATTCTAAATTCATTTCTTATGCTTATCCTATTGATTTGACAGTTAAAATGCTATAGAAAAGACATATGTACAGTCTTGTTAAGTCTCTGGGAATAAAAAAATTCATTTACCATCCATCCTCTGTTCCCAACCACATGGTGCTTTTAAGTGAGTCCTGAATCCAGCTACCAGCAATTATAGGATCAGGATTACTGCTAACTGGATCTGGATTAGGAGAAACTGGATCAGGGGTAGGAGCAGGCAGGTCTGCAGGAGGTGGGATTTTCCCTTCCTCATCTATAGAGAAAAAAAATTCCAACAAATTTGAACATTTGTAACCTTGATATCTGTGAATATCAGATCTGTATGGTAAATATTTTATATAATGAACAATGAATTAAACAAAATAAGCAGAATGAAAGGATTTATCTACACATTTCTAAAAAAACAAACCTATTTAAATGACTCAGAAACTTTAAAACTTAATATTATAGGTACCGGTACGTGCACAGACAAATCAAACAAGCAATTTTTCAGAAAAGTTTACTTTGTTTATTAAAGTTTAACCAGGAATACATTTCTTACCATCAACAGACATAGGGTCCTCATTGTTTTCATTCATACTAGGGAAGGGAGTCTCTGTCTCCTCATCACTGGACTCGGATTCAGAATCGGACTTGTCCTCAATGGACTTCTCCTCTTCCTCCTCCTCTGTCCCATCCTCAGTGCCCTCCTCTGTATCATCAATACTGATTTGAGGACTGTCCTCGGACACACTTGCTATCACAGGGTGTTGAGAAATCACAGGGTGCTGGTGCCTCTTACCACTGCTTTTCCTATTGGTGAAGCAGAAAAAAAATGAACGAAAAATATTGTTTCTATTTTACCACTATTTTGCCATCATTGAATGCAAAGTTTCACTGAAGCCCAATTTTTTTCTTTTATTTAAAAAAAAATGCTTTAAACCAGATTTTATACAAAACTCCCACTAAATTCAATAGCACAGAACCCTAATTTTCATAATCTGTGCACAAAGTTCACACAGACCAACAAGATTTTTCAAGCTTTACCTGCGAAAGTTCCCACTGTATGCTGGGACAGCACAGATACAGAGAATTCTGGCATTACAGCCGGGGACGGGAGTGTTGAGGGTGACGATTGGCTCTGGCTGTAAGCTTAGGAGACACATGTGCCCCACGTATCCATCACTATTACATACCCACACCTCACGATAACCTGAGTTGTTCACCCCATCAATTGGAGCTGCACAGGAAAACTGTGAAGTGAAAACAGGACATGGTCAGACTGGAGATGCTTTTATCATTGATTTGTCACAAGGGAAACTCTGAAAAACTTGGGAAATTTATCAGTTTTATACAGGAAAATGTACCACAATTGAATATTTCAGTATATTTTCACCTGCATTCCTGCTCTCGTCTTTGTGATGGGTAATGGTGTCAAAAATTCTGGAGCTCTCTTATCAAACATCTGAGCTGTAAGACAAAAGACAAAAAAACTGAGGGATCTTGGAATACAAACATGTAATACGACCAGAAATTAAAGTACAGGTGCACTTTTTAAACATTTATGTGATTTTTTAATGCCAGTTTTATTTTTGGAATGTTTGTAAACATCAACAGTATTATATTTGACATTAATTAAACTGTAGCAATAAAAGGCTATATGGGGATTCCGCCGACTGCTGACCCACTAACCTAGTTTCTGTTTAGCTTCACTGACTGCAGCCTCCCAGGCTATCCTCTTTTCTCCAGAGCTGAACATAATTTCTAATGGGTAAATAGCTTCTCTGTAATATATATAAATAATTCTCAATTTGCATTTAAATCAAGCCAGAGAAAGTAGATTTAATCTGACTCGATTTTGGCCCCAGAATTTCAAGAAATTTTATCCAGGAGAATAGAATACAAGACTCCTTTCAACAAACTATCTGCTTAACATTCGCCTGTGACAACTTAATCATATGATAAAAAATTGTTCACAAACTGAGAACAAGACTTTTTATGGTTAGATTGCCCATTCAGAAGTATTTGTGTCTGCCTTCTGCATGGTCATAAAAAATATTAATGACCTATGAACATCATGACAAAAAAAATATATACATGTATTTATATAATTATGTATTTCAAAGTATTCATATATTTTTAAGAAAAATTGTGTACAAAATGCCCATTTTACACGTACATTTCTCAATTAAAGTACTCTATTTTGTGATGTCACACCTAAATATTTTTAATGCTTGCATAATTGCAGGAAAATGATAAATATAGCACTTCCTAAAATATTGTTACATTATGTGATTGAACAAGATATACCAGTGTTTTGACAAGTTCAATATAACTCTATTTTATTTCAAAGGCCAAATTATATGCCCTACCATGCCTTATTCTTTGAATAAGTTTTTCAGTATTTTGGCTGAATGTATGCAATCAAAACTGATGTTGATTTATACACATTGCATTATTCTCTATCAATAAACACGTACTGATAAAAGTATTGCAACCTATGCATACATGCAGATGTACAAAATTGCTTTGTTATGTATATTATTCCAATACTGCCTCTGTATCTTAATACTTACTGTGTTGTGACTAGAATATCCACTTTATTAGACTCGGCAGTTGGATTGCGCAACATGGCTTCTGATAGTTGCTTATTTAGTGTTGATAACATATCTTTGACAATTTCTTCAAGACTCTGCAATTCAAACATTTTATTTTAGATTCACCTCTATGTTAAAATATTTCTTAAGGATTGTTTTGTGAAAAAGCAATTATGACAAACTGACAATATTTTGCCAAAATCCTACAGCTACTGAAAGAAGACAGTCATTTGGTTTTTGAATTTTCAAGACTGAGGTCGAAATAAGCTAAAAAGGTCAAGGACAAAGTGCTGAGATAAGGTCAAGGACAAAGTGCTGAGATATCTTACAGAATGAGGGCAATTAAGGCGATTAGTGAGATCACTGATTTCATTCAAAAAACCAATGTCCTCCTCCAGCTGTTCAGGGTCCACTAAGTTCCTCCGGGACAGGTTTGTGGGACCTAAAACGATCACAGGTCAAAAATTTTCCTTTTACTTTAAATTTTCATTAGCTCTTGAATTTGTAAATCACTTTACAATGTTTGTTACAAAACTAAACAAAATTATATCAAAACAGTAGTGAATGATCATTAACATTTATTTGTAATTTATCCCTAGAACTTTTTTTTTCACATATGTATTTCAATGTCAGTAAAATATTTCATGCCCCTTCATGAACTTACTTTTAACAATTTCTACAGCATCTAGGCCAACTTTCAGCCATACTTTATGTTTAATATTTTCTGTAAAATCTTGGCCAGTAGTGGATTTTCTATAATAAAAAAACATAATTTCACATTTTATTAAAACAAACATCTTTCTGTTAAAATACCACTTTCCAATTACATTTATGTTTCATGTAATACCATTTACACAAGTCATAACACAAGCCCACTAATGTATATTCAATATTCTGATGGATATTATAGGAGTGCAATAATACTTTAATAGCATTTTGACTGTTACATCATCAGAGATTAAGCTAATAATATACAGATTGCCATACTTCAAAAGACAGCTTTAAAAATTACAACGTAGATAACTCTTGAACAGGCCGGTAGTGATGCCACGATAAGGTGACCATTGTTCCGTGGCAGGGTGCCACTTTCTAGGGACCACTTAAGTACTTACAAGATAATGGATTTGCGTGTGACAGGCCCACTCCGCCTCTTGAGACTACTTATAATAATGAGATCAGAGAAAGTCCATATACACCACTGGTCTTTTTTACTCTGTAAAAAAAAATCAGTAGTATAATTGTCAAAACAGAGATAAAAACACCTTTAACAGGTACCCTTAATGGTTTTAAAGAACCATTCAGACCTTTAAATCTATTTATAGTCCTTCTGTGTACATTTTACGCTATACTCTGTTTCAAACTTCCAGTGGAATGGAAATTGGAAAATTATCATGAATACCTCAAATTCTATGAAAACCGATACATTTATTGTAAAGTTTAAATGCACTTTTTCTCATTTATAAGATATTTATGGTCTTCATTCTATTTACTGATTTGTTTACCTATAGATCATCCTTTCAAAATCTAACTCAAAGCAGGGGAAATAAATTAAATTTTTGGACTAATCATTTTCAACTTAATTTACTTCATTTCTAAATTCTTTACTTAAAATTTCAATAATTCAGCTGGATAAAAAACTTTCAGCAACTAAATATCTTAAAACCAATGAACTTCAGTTCTGTGTGAGTTGACTTTATCAGGAGTTACAGGACAAAACAAATTGAGCTCAATATACTTACCATTATTTGAACCATGTCATGCCTTATGTACTGTCTATCTGGCACAGCCAGCTATAAAAGCAACAAAAAAAATCAATCTTTAAGTGACAAAAATCATTAAACTCATTATGTCAGCTATATGAGAAAGATTCTCTGTTACCCTTATTAATTGTCAAAAGCATTCCTCTATAATTCATTATTGTTTAGGTTTGTTACTGACTGTCTATGGAAATATATCTGGTTGATCAAATTCATATATGGCATAGCGAAAGCTGAGCAGTCTATGAAAATCAACCCAATATTTTTTATACAAGAAGAATTGTATTAAAATGGCTATAGAACAAATACCAGACCTTGAACATTTAACTAAAAAAAAATGTTCAAGGTAACTGCACACCCTTTACCCATGGACTCTCAATGAGTGAGTATGAGCATGAAGGGGCCAAGGGTAGAGAAAATATTCTCTGGACAAGTGATATCAGATGGACAGAAGGATGGTAAAATATACAGATAGGCAGACAGATCAGTAATGCAAACTTGCAATATGGGGCCCTAATAAGTGATTTATTTTCTCGAGGACTATAATGGGAGTGGCATATACACTTTACTAAATAATTCCTAATATTGAGATGGCTAGGCATTGGCCATATTGCTGGATATAAATTCTCAGCTGCCTGACAAAGAAATACATGTACATTGTATAGTCATAAGTCAAATGTCACATTTAAACCAATGAAAATGCAACACTTCAGTCTGAAGGAAACTAATAATTTGGAAATGCATCCCTTATATTAATTATCAATGAAAGGTCCACCTATATTTTTTCAATGAGTAGATTCTCTAATACATGTAATCATATTCATTATCAGTAACAGTTACCATTACTTAATCATTTATCAGTAAGTTTTTCTATCAATAAAATCCATTATCAGTAAACATTTACTCATGTACTGGTCTACCATTTATCAGTAAAAATCCATAGCATATAAAAGTTATGAATAACTGATCCTTTATTACTTATATATTTATCAGTAACAGTTACTCTATTACTTACATCAGTAATTAGTAAGAGTTCCAGCCTCTTTAGCGTGGCTTGTTGATCCTCCTCGTGTTGGCTTTCGTTGACTGTACCAAGTTTGATGGCAAAGTCATGCATCACTTTCTCTGCCTCCTTCAGCAATGGAAAGTCCGGGTGTCCAGGAGGGGTGTGTTCGATTAATCTCTGCAATGAAGGAAAACATTTCTAGTCTCCATTTTATGAAACTTTTCTAAGGTAGTGATGCTAATGTGCAAAATGTGAATACTTTTTAATAAGCATACGAAAGACCTAACCTTTAGTTGTATTAAAATCAGTTAAAGAATTTATTACAGTGTATAAGATTTTACTAAAATTTAATATACATGAGCGCAGTAAAAATCAAGCTGAAAATTCATTTTTGTTTCATACATGCTTAAACTGCAATTAATCAAATTAAAAGAAATTGTATGAAAATGGCCATATACCAAAATGCAAAATACCACTTCTTTTTAAACATAAATTCTTAAATTATGCTCTATAGAAATAATTGAGCTTCTCAATTTTTCATCATGATTTTAGAAAATCTAATCGCCACTCATACTGGATTATGCATGACAGTGCAGAAACATTATGGCAGAGATCTGTTTTCCCAATGTTAAACATTCTTTGACCACCAAAAATTCCAGTTGAATGACCTCCTCAGTAAAAACAACAAATCAGTCAGAATTGCTCTTTGGCAAGAGGAAAAAAGCGTGATCCTATGAATATCATCCAAAAATGCTGTTGGCAGGCTTTATCAAAATATATTAATTTCTTCTTGAAACTCTTTGATAAACCAAAGCCATGTAATGGATATGCAATGCAGGTAGCAATAAAATCTAAGTCAACAAACATAAAATGAACATCTTATCATTAATTTTTTTTCCCCTGTACTCATTCCTGATCAGTAAAGAATAAATTTCAAAATTCCTTATCTTTCCTTTAAGAAATTCTCGCAAAATGCCTGATGTACATCGTAGACCTTCACTCTCTTTCAAAAAAAAAAGAAAGAAAGAAAGAAAATCGGTGGCACAGTTTTTAGATCCCCTTCTTCAAGACATTCATCAATCACATGCATGAGTACAAGCATAATTAATATTTCAACACAAATTATGAACAAGAACTAAATATACACACCCTATGTATCATCATCAGCTCCAACAGATTGTATGGAGAAGACTATTTTTTAGGTCTTATCATGGAAAATCTAAAAAGAATCTTGCTCCTACTTAGCCATGAAGAAAAAAAAACATGAAGTTGTAGCATCAGTGGGGGCCTAGCTAATATTTTCTGTTTTAAAAACATTTCTCCATCTTGTGCTAGGAGTCAGATGTTTAGAGAGATAAAGAAAAAAAAACAACTGACAGAATAATATCTCTCCACATTGTATCTCTTGGGTACACTAAAAGGGGGGAAGCTTCAAACAGAAAAAAATTATCCAAAAATGGATGCAGCCCATAGACTACTAAGCTCACCTGAACACTATTCAGGTATCAAGTTGATAAAAAAAATCTTCAGTATTTCTGCAAAAATTTCAGCCTTGCTGTTATAAAAATATGTTAAATGTAGATACTTTTCAGAATTCTTGAATTATAAGACAACCCAAAAAGTACCAGGCAAACTACAATTTATACAACTTGGTAAGATTTACAAAACATATAAAAATCATTTTAAGCTTCTAAGGAAACCCTATTCAACTTGAAGAAAATCACATGACTGAAAATAAAAGAATTTATCCAAAAGTTTCTGAAATCCTCACTTATCTATTTATAAGCTATTAGCACTATAAAAATGAACAGATTATGATATCATGAAAATTTTATCATTTTTTTTCCTCGTAATGTGTATATCACATCTGTACTACTAGACTGCAGTTCCTGTCTAACTGATAAATAACAAAAAACATTTTGACGGCTCATCATCATTAAATTAAAAAAAATAAAAATTTTAAAAGTTTATAAAAAAAAGTATTACAAATAAAAATGGGTCATACACCAAGGTAAAACCAAGGAAAGACACAAGAATCACAACTTTATAAATGTTTTAAGATGGTTCTTGTTTTCTCGCTGATAAAAAAAATACACATGCCAGCTTCCTCATCAGATGAAAAAAAAGGAAATTGGTTTTCAGTGATAAGATGGCCTTGACCTTTTTAGTAGCATAACTTTCAGTACAGAAGAAAACAGGAATTTTGCGAGTGCGATATCCGAAAAAGATTTTTACAATTTGATGCTGTGTACAGGTAATCATTGACAGAATTCCAGCATAAAACTGGAATAAGAAATTATTCTGAAGATAGTACGAGTATACAAAAGCTAACTATGCTATAAATATGTTTTTTCATATCTAAAAGATATGTTTTCAGATACATATATCTCGCTTCAGTTAATCAACATACAGGGCTTGGAAAAGTAGTTCATATCTAGGAATTCTTTGTCTAGTTCTAACAATTAGGTGTACTTACTTGTAAAAGTATTCACATCAAGGAATACTTTTTATATGTCTAACAATTCGGTGTTAGCATACACATGTAGTAAAAGTACATGTAGTTCAAATATAAGAATTCTATGTATAGGTCTTATGGTTACGTTTATTTACTTGTAAAGGTGGTTCATATCTAGGAATTCTTAATATATATAGGTCTAACAATAAGGAGTGCTTATTTGTAAAAGTAGAAATTAGTTCATATCTAGGAATTCTTTGCATAGATCTACTAATTACCCAGTAGGCAGGTACTTTTAAAAGTACAGTCAAACCTCATTATCTCGAACTCGATGGGACCAAAAAAAAAAACTTCGAGACATCTGAGAATTCGAGATATCAGGGGTAAAATATTTAAAGAATAAGTGGTTGGGACTCCCAAATCACTTCGACATATCTATGGTATTCGAGATATTTGTGTTTGAAATATTGGAGTTCAACTGTAGTTCACATAATCACATCTAGGATTTTTTTGCATAGATCTAATGATTAGGTGTGCTTAGTTGAAAAGTAGTTCATATCTAGGAATTCTTTGTATAATTCTAACATTCAAGTGTACCGGTACTTACTTGCAAAAGTAGTTCATATCTAGGAATTCTTTGTATAGGTCTAACAATTAGGTCCTTCATTGACAATTTGTTCCCACTTTCTTTGTGACATTGCTGTAAAAAAAAAAAGATTATTGAAATGCCTTTTTTTTCCAAATTGGTGATGCAAGTAAAATACTGTAGCACATGTATATAACTCTAGTCTAATGTCAGATAAATCTACAATGTTGTGATCCTAATGTCTTTCATCCAAAAGAAATTTCTGTACATGTGTATTATGTGGAATCTGTACTTAACTTCTCATCAAAAAATAAAAATATATTGTAATAAAGAGACTACCATTATATCCATGACCACTTTCCACATACAATACCACGCTGCTTATTAGTGCATGTAGTTGAGGGTATAACATAAAAAAAATTGACCCCCAAAAAAGCACTGTCAACCGAGGTGAAGCGGAGGTTGACAATGGTTTTTGAGGGTTGAAAAATTTCAATGTTACCCTCAACTACATGCAGTATTTCTAATATAATACTGAATATCTTATACAAATACGAACAATAGTGAACTGTGCAAGCAAAGATTCCACGCCAATTTTTTTGGAATATCACATTTTGTCAAGTAATGTTGACCATTCCATTGCGCTGGAGGACATGCATGGTTTCATTATTCAGAGAGTAAAAGTGTTTTTTAACAAATGTTTCTCAACAAATCAAAGTCCTTATTTCCGTGAAAGTATATTATGTTTTATGTTATCATCATCACATCATTTAGACCTTCTTTATTAGAGTGATCTATGATTATCACAACAGACATAAGATATGGTTTGTCAATTTGGGACCAAGGAACCATTATTAGGGAAGTTTTAGAACTGGTGAAACAAAAAAACAGCTATTGGACTGAAGAGTTTCGTGAGTCATGATAAGGTTTGAGATTTGAGTCAGAATACAAAAAAGTAAAAGTGAAAATGAAGGGGCAAAGGAATTTCTTTATAAAATGATCCACATGTTCTGGGTCTTATCAGACTACAGTTTTAATCCAGTCATTATGTAAAATCTCTCTAATCAGTTGACAGGAATTGATGTAAAACCTATCTATCTCTATTGCCCATTGATTGTTGCTGTTTCTTCCTATAAACTTCCAGGATATGCCATATCTTAATAATGAATATTTCACACTTCTTATCTGCCTGACCTTGACCTTTCACACACATAAAGCTGATAGAGTTTTTATGGCTACAGAGGGGAGAAGCCAAAGAACTGATGGGAAAATTTTCTTACATAAAAATTCAACATTCCTTAAAGAAGATCAACAAACATTTGAATCTTGAACTTATTTGAAATTTTGGACATTTCAAACACTTCAAAATTTTGTGACATTAAATACATGCTCTCCATATGGTTGTTTAAAATTCTTAGAGTTTCTTCGTAAACATTAACAATGGACTAGTACACAATTACAAAATAAATCTTTGTTTATATCTATATCAATGACCTTGAACTTCTTGGACTCTTAAAACACACAGCTTGTACAACTATTATAAATACATGTATCTTTAATTGTATAAATATGAAATTCTTCTTTATATATTGGTTCAGGTTTCCCTTTTTTCATACCTCAATAAATTTTTGAACGGAGGATTTGGTTGTCAAGGCATTTTCAATGACTTTTCCTGATGTTTTATAATTCTCCACAAATGAAAGATAGCAGTCAATCACTGTTTGCTTGGAAAACTGAAAAATCAAATCAAATCTGTTAATATACTTACATATATATATAATTCAATGACACTAATTAATTTATATAAAGGACTGATAAAAATAATTTTTTCAGGTTGATTTTTACTTAAGAAATAACTACTTTTCTGCTTTATGAGGATATACAGTATATATACACATGAATTTACTTGATCATTTGCCATTTATGCATAAATTACCATGTGCTCATCAAACCCTACGTTTACTGTAGCAGAAAGCCTCCCCAGTGGTTCAGAAACTGGCTCACTGTGGCAGATTTAACATTGCCCATAGTTCAGAAACTGACCAAAGCCTTAAAAAGTGGCAGATATAACACTGCCTATAGCCTAGAAACTGACTCACTATGGCAGTTAATTCAGAAACTGATTCATTGTGGCGGACATAACACTGCCTGTAGTTCAGAAATTGACCTAAAGTTGCAGGTAAAACATTACCTTTACCTTAGAAATTGGCTCATTGTGGCAGATAAAACATCACCCATAAGTTCAGAAAATGACCTAAGGTGGCAGATATAACACTGCCCATACTTTAGAAACTGACTCACTGTGGCATATTTAACACTGGCCCAAGTTAAAAAACTGGCCTTAGGTGGCAGATGAATCACTGCCCATAATTTAGAAACTGACTGTGGCAGATAGGACATTACCCTTAGTTCAGAAACTAACTGTGCAGATGTAATATTGCCCAAACTAACCTAAGGTGGCAGATATAACACTGCCCATAGTTTAGAAACAAACTCTCTGTGGCATGGCCATAGGAACTGGGGGGGGGGGGGGGCATCTGTGCCCCCCCCCCCAATAATTTTGCCAATATATAGAGTACTATAGAAAACATGGAAACTATATGCTTGTGTCCCCTTGATAAAAACGTCTGATGACTGTGCCCCCCCCCAAACTGAAATTGCTTCCTACGGGCCTGTGTGGCATATAACACTACTCATAGTTCTAGAAGTGACCTAAGGTGACAGATATAACAATGCCAATAGTTCAGAAACTGACTCAATATGACTAATACAACATTACCCATAGTTCAGAAACTGACTCAATGTGACAGACATAACATTACCCATAGTTCAAAAACTGACTCACTGTGGCAGATATAACATTGCCCATGGTGCTGGTTTCTGAGTCCCAGTTGGTCCAGACCCGGTCCAGAGCATTTCTGTACACGGTGTGGTGCATAAGGATTTCTGGAATCATGTAGAAGATATTGTCCACAAGGTTTTCGTCCACACTGCTGCAGGAAGTTTTCAGTGGGAGCATGTACTTCTACAACCAAAAACCAGGGTTACAATTAGTTTGGTGGTAAACTTGGACTACAATTTTGATAAAATGTAAAACAAATCTTTCATTTAACACACCGACATGTCTGCCATTAACACTCACTCACATGACAGTAGTGCCTTATTTATTGAAATACCTTACTGACAGATGGCCTTCACAGAAGACTTTGACTAACTGGAAAATCATTGACCCAAATGTTTAAGCCTTGACATTTTTTTTTGATCTGTTATAAGAGGCATTCAATAAGAGAAGCAGGGAAAAAACACAGTTTTACAAGTAAACACTTGTATAAATTGATACCCAAGTACCCCCTATTGCATTGATTTGAAAAGGCTTTTATGGGTTGACATAACTTTTTTTCATTGTTTACCTACTCTGACAACACATAACCTCTTGTAACCCACCAGATATAATGATTTACAGGTCAACAGATCCGGGTGCAGTATGGCAGATTGCAAGTCAATATTCCCTTATCAGATAGCAACAGACTTCCACAACAACTCACAGGTGTGAACTTCTTTCATCATTCAGTTATTGCCCACAAAAAATTGTTTGGAATATTTGTGCAAAAAAATCTCTAGTCTACATTGTATATCATCACCTGTCTTAAAGTGCAAACTAATGTCAAACTTGTAATCAAAAGTTACGCAAACTTACTGCATAATTAAAGTTATGCCAAATATCACTTGACAATTAGGAAAATGCAATCCTGTTGTTCTTTACATGTCTGTTTTTTTTTTAGCATTATTATTTAATTTTCCTACATATTGTCTTTATCTTAACAATTTTTTTGTGTGCGAAGGGCTTTATGGTACATTTGATCTCGTACCAACCCATATTTATATCCCGATAGATGTTGAAAAATGATACATTATTACTTATATTTACATTTATGACTTATTCATATTTATATTTTCCTGATTATAATCTTTAACACCTGAAATGTTTATTTTTCAAACTCAATGGCCTGTATTTGATCCATTAATTGCACGTCAATCCTTTATGACGTCACTGAGAAATTACGTCGAATGTTTATGATGCGAGGAATCCGTGTTTATACAGATATAGATACGCGCTGCTTTTAATAGTGTTATATGAAAGAAAACATTTGTAAATGTAAATATATATAAATAAAAATATGGTTTACACTTTATATATTGCTTGATATAGCTTTAGTTTGACTCAGATCATCATATATAACACATTGATTTGGTTATCTGGGGCCCGTTTTACATAGGAACTTATGACTAAGACCAAAATTTAATATTCTGCCAATAACTTTCTAATTTATATTAAATAGAAAATGGTTTAATCTTTTTAAAAGGTATGTAGAAAGATACTTTTACACTAGCAATTTTAAACAGAATCATTTATTTTGCAAAATTTTAAAATCAACTGAAGTTTTTGGTCTTAGTCTTAAGTTCTTTTGTAAAACGGGCCCCTGATCTTTCTGAGGGATTCCTCCTTTTTGAATAACTCCACTCTACAATAACTAGATCCTCATTATCACCCCTTTGGTTTGGAGACTTTGCTCTTTATATGAATTCTTTCTCGTTCCCTGGGATACTTTGAGTTTTGATTCTGTGGTTCTTAATACAAGAGGAAGGTTTATGTCCAATATCAGATTCCATGTATATACTACACAAAACAATCTCTCAGAAAACTGATGAGAGAAATCACAAAAATCTACATTCTATGTCTCTGACTTTATATCCATGATATTTTATGTTGAAAGGCTACTGGAACTTACATCTTTGAAGATAGTGAGAGGTTTATCTCAGTGATAATCTGTTTTAACATGGCTACTACAACAACCTTTGAACACAATGAGGGCTTCATCCTAGAGATAAACTATTTTAAAATAAATACCAGCACTAGTGAACTAGTACTCACATCTTTGTGGACAACAAAGATTAACTGTTTCGAAAATGGTTAGTAGGACTAGTATCTTTGAGGACAATGAAGATTAACTGTTTTGAAATGGTTACTAGTACTCACATCTTTGAGGACAGTGAGGGCATCTACATATTCCTGTTCATTTTTACACAGCTCTTCCACTATATGGTAGCGCTTGTCCTACAAAACAAGTTTACAATTATAGCAAAATGAAAGTTATGCAACTTATAGAGTTAAACCTGGTTATACAAAAATATTGTTGACCATAGTAAAAAAAAAAAAAAAAGAAATTATTACACATTTCTTGACAAATATCAACTGTTTACTATTTATAATACTGAAAGTGGGAATACTTTTTGCAAAAATGTTTAGAAAATGTTAGTAAACCCAAACATACAATTGGATCATATAAGATATTGTACTTTACTGCACACTTTAAAGTTTTAAAAAGAAAGTATTCCGTTTTCAAGGGCTTTAGGCTTGTTTCCTAAAATTATCTATAAATTGCATGCTGCACATTTTGAATCAGATCTATCATGAGCAATTATTTGTAAAAGTTGTAACTTTCACAGAGTTAATTCTTTACTTATCTTTTCTACAATAATTAGGCCAAACTTGCATCATCTCGAGCTCCCTTAACTACATCCAAAGGTCAAAATTATTGGTGAAAAATGCTATAAATTCTTACAAGGCATTATTTTGCCTAAGTTATGTTGTAAAGCATTTGATGGTGTGACTAATGAATACTGCCTTTTAAAATAATTTAAAAAAAAAAAAAAAAAAAAAAAAAAAAAAAAAAAAAAAAGACACATTCCACCTTATGACAAATGCTTGGAGACTTTAGAACCAAGTTGCCAGGAAAAACATTTTGAAAAGATATTAAACAACATCTGCAATTTTTTTTTTCGATGACAGTTTCAATGCTTCTGATAAATATGTACAAATCTTGTGCCTTACTAATCATCTTGCTTTTAAATCTCGTGTAACCAATCTTGAGCATATTTTGAACTCATTTTGATTTTTAATTGGTGTTGATCTGAAAATCAATTCATACAAACATAGAAGATTTATCATTTGATAAGTGTATGTACACATACTCATTTCCAAAACAAACATTCCAGCGTAGAGAGAATATAATTTTCTATAATGTATTCCGGATACTGTTTGACTATGTAATAGAAAAATCCGTTTGATGTTGTATTTTCACAAAAATAAACAATTAATCGTCCTGTCATATCACCAGATTACTTAGACTATAAAGATAAGTGTTTTCTATCCCCCCTTCTTTTTATTGTTAATCCTGAACAGAAGCTTTTTAACTCTTACATACTGAAGTTTCGAGTTTCACATCAACAATACAAAAGAATCTGCTGATATGGCTTTAATGGTTACGTAGATATTTTATAAACTGTAAATCATCTAGCTCATACATGAGTATAATACATAATAAACTACGCTATTCAACAACTTTGCATAATATGCATAAACAAATATTGCAAAAGTAACTGCGTCTTAGAAATCTGCAGCATATACATACTTGAGGTAGTTCACTGAATGGTATTTACTGATTTTCACAAAAAAAAACAAAACTTTTTTATAAAACAATCAATCAAACAAAATTCCCTCTACAAATTCTACCCAAGGTCGAAATGAGATACTTATGCACTTAAGATTTAGTACTTTTCCAACCCTAATAAACATAAAATTTTGTGAAATAAAACAAGTTGTATCTGATGAACGTTTCATGATAAACAAAATATCAGAGGGCAATAGTCTTTGCAAACAATACATCACCTAGAAATTATCATTCTAGGAACATCACTGCATAATTCACATATCTGGGGAACCTCAGATAGAAAAGGTCAGTTCTATAAATGCAGTCAAAATGATGTACCTGCCAAATTTAATAACCCCAGAGACATGTCTGCAATGCTAAATCCTTGATCACGACATGTTGCCATCTTGTTGGATGCAGCTGCTTGTGCATCAATTAGCGATCATAAAGGAGTGTCAGATGTGTTTGCTGGTTGTTAGCAGTTTCGGGATGTCATAATGGATATGGCCGTAGAGGGTGAAGGTCAATGACTTTCCATACTTAAACAGAATACATATTGCCTAATCGTCTTGTTAAGTCTACCTAAATAGTGCTTTTTAATTCAGTAAAATGACACTTTCTTTTTTGATATGTACAATTTTTTTTTTGTTTGTTTAAGTCCCATAGTGAATGAATTCTTCAAAAACCTATTAATTAAACACAAAATATACTCATGAAAAGACATGAAAATACTGGGTAAAATTGGCTTAAACCAAGGATCCAGTAAATCGGTCAAACAACAGCAGCCTGTCAAGTAGATAGTTGTGAATGGACATAAAAAATACTATTAGATATTTGCTCTTAGTAAATGCCTTGTATTAAGTCCACCTACATTTTTGCTCAGAATGACCTTTCAAGATAAAGCGATCATTCACAAGGTAGTAAACTTTCATTTAACCCGTCAAAAGGTAATGTTTGTACATCCATATCTACAAATACGGTAAATACTGAACTAATTCTTTATACAGATAACATGAAGATAAAGCACATGGCCAAACAAACTCTGACCAAAATATTTTGATCTTAGAATGATACCGGTGACAAAAAGCCTACTCGAAAAGCTCTTTATATCAATCAATTCAGACCTATATACTGCACAACTGGTACAACACAACAATAAAATGCCCTACACACTTTTAAAATTTGTGACCTCATTTCTTGAAAAGAGAGGAAATTTTGATAAAAGCCAGGGTATTATCAACAAAACTGAATTAACTAAAATGTACAGGAACAAATATACTTATTTCCTTTTCTATTAAATAGCTCGATACCCAAGATTTCTTGTCTCTCAGAGTCATGTACATGATCTATTCACCCACAATAAAATGGCAACCTATTATCTATGCCATTGCAACTTGCTGAGCTATATGACTTCAAATTTCCAATTCTCTACAATAGTGTAAATATTAAGATTGGAACAGACAAGATTTACATTTGGTAATCTATATGTTCCCCCCTCTCTGCGGTGGGGGTCCATCGTCTTCATGCCTCCGTAATTGATGCACTTGAGAGGAGATTGGCATGTGTGCTGCAAGCTTCCTGCAGTGGTTGGCAGCAGTAGCTTTTGAGATGATCCCTAGTGGAGAAATGGGATGCTACTGAATGACTGCAGCTTTATCTCTCAGCTGTATTGGATAAGCGGTGGAGCATCCTCATCTTCTCTTATAGTCTGTTTCAGTGGCTTCAGCCTGAAAAGCTCCTGCTTCATTTTGTTTATCATTTAAAATTTCACCAAAAACAATGTAATTGGCTTTGAGCACAATTTAGTTCAAGGGTAATTGCCAATAACTTCAGTTGAAAAGTTTCAAACATGATTTATTGCACCTTTCAATATTTTTCTCTCAAGGTATTTAAATTAAGAGTTTGATGGACAAAATACTTTTTTTGGGGGGGGGGGGGAGGGGTCAAATACTCATAAAAATTTGATACCAATTTGGACTGATATTTGATTATGGACCCTAAAGAGTGTTTAATGAAAAGCCTTGACCTTTTCACATTTGTCTGGGATTGATTGGTGCATTTAAATTACTTTTTACCCAATATCCATGTTTTCCCTTTATTTCAAAGTAAAGGGTTAGAGATCAATTATTGTAACAGGCCAGAGGTTAAGGTTGATGAGCAAAATCTTTGTGGACCTTACAATTATAGTCAAACCTCGTTATCTCGAACTCGATGGGACTGAGAAAAAACTTCGAGATATCCAGGGATTTGAGATATCAGGGTTAAAATACTTAAAGAATAAGTGGTTGGGACTTCTAAATCACTTCGACATATCCATGGTATTCGAGATATCAGTGTTCAAGATAACGAAGTTCAACTGTATGTGTATTTTTTTTTTATCTATAAGTGGCATCTTGGGTATTTTGATAACAAAAATTACAACTAGATTCCATCTCATAAAAACATTTAGTATAATTGTAATTTACAACTAGCAGTTACTTTTGCAACATCTTATTTTTTATAGGCCATAGTTATTTGGTGTTTATAAGCAAGAAAAAAATTTCCACTAATTTTGGTAATAAATGTATTTAACTTTGACTCATGGCTTTTCTGTTCTTGCAAAGGGGTCATAATTTGAATAAACTTGAATCTACACTACCTAGGGATGCTTCCATATAAATATGAATAATCATGGCTTTGTTGTTCTTGAGAAGAAAATGTTGAAATATTTTTATAAATTCTTATGTAAAACTTTGATCCTCTATTGTTGCCCCAGGCACCCTATCCTCGGTTGTCATGATTTGAACAAATTTGAATATAAACTTCCTGAGAATGCTTCTATGTTAATAATGACTAATCATGGCTTTGCTGTTCTTGAGAAGAGAATTTTTAAACATTTTTTCCTATATATTCCTATGTAAAATTTTGACCACCATTGTATTCCCACCCTACCTATGGGGGTCATGATTTGAATAAACTTGAATCCCACTATGTAATGAAGCTTTCAAATAATTTTCAACTTTTCTGGCCCAGTGGTTCTTGAGAAGAAGATTTTTAAAAGATGTCACCTCATTTTCACTATTCTTAATTAATCTCCCCTTGAAAGAGGGCATGGCCCTTCATTTGAACAAATTTGAATCCCCTCATTCAAGAATAATTTGTGGCAAGTTTGTTTGAAATTAGCCCAGTGGTTCTGGAGAAGTTGAAAATGATGAAAAGTTTACATACTGAAAGACAGACAGACGGATGCCAGACAAAATGTGATCAGAAAAGCTCACTTGAGCTTTCAGCTCATGTTAGCTAAAAATCCAATCCTGGCAAAAGCTGTGTTCATATATTTTGCATATTCTTTACACAGAATGTCAAGTTTATCTTTGTCACTCTACATCACAGGTAAATTGTGGAAACATAGTGCTTTATAGGTACAGCAATGGCTATACATGTATATATATTATTTTGTGAAAAATAAATAAAAAATGTTGTGGAAAGGTAAAAATGAAATTTTCATTAAAATTTGTGGAAAGGTAATGTACCCAAAATTATATGTTGACCAAAAATGTTTTTGGAAGATATGACATTTTTCAAGTGCAGTCTTTTATAACAATACACAATGCATGTACTAGTAATTTTCAAACCCTAATGCTGA